TGTCCTGCACCTGATTCCGTTTCACCACTTCACCCAGACGCTGACAGAATCACGCACCATTATGGAGTCAGCAGGTACGTCCGATCCCAGCGACTCGGTGGAGGAACGCATCCAACAGCACTCGATCATGCTGCAGAGACTAGGTTCGGCTATGGATCGTGTGATCAACACCATGGATCGATGGGAGAGAGTTGGGTTTTCTACACCTCCTCCTCCTCCGATTTCTCCTCCATCAAGACCATCAAACCCTGGGTCCAGTGGTATTCGGCTCTCGCTCCCGAGGGAATATGATGGGACAGCTGCCGGGTGTAAGGGTTTCCTGCTCCAGGTGGAGCTCTACCTGGCAACCATCCACCCGGCTCCCTCGGGATACGAGAGCGTGTCCGCCCTCATCTCCTGTCTGTCGGGCAGAGCGCTGGAATGGGCCAACGCGGAGTGGGGTGGAATAGACGCTCAGTCCGTTCGTTATGAGGATTTTACCCGCCGTTTCCAGGCAGTATTCGATCATCCGCCAGAGGGGAGAGCGGCGGGGGAGTGTCTGTTTCACCTCAGACAGGGAAGGAGGAGCGCACAGGACTTCGCCCTGGATTTCAGGACACTGGCAGCCAGAGCGGAATGGAATGAGAGGGCCCTGATTGACCACTACCGATGCAGTCTACGGGAGGACGTTCGTAGGGAGCTGGCCTGCAGGGACACTAATCTTAACCTGGACCAGCTGGTAGATTTATCGATCCGGCTGGATAACCTGTTGGCCACCCGCGGACATCCAGATCAGGGTCCATCCAGTCCATCCCCCAGCACTTCCGACTCCACACCTATGGAGCTTGGAGGTGCTGAGATGGAGAGAACGAGCAAGGGGGTGGTCTCCTGCACCAACTGTGGCCGCAGAGGATACACTGTGGGCCGGTGCAGGAGAGGACCCTCATGGAACCGAGGCAGCAGGCAGGGTTCTGGTGGACCATCCCAGGTGAGTAGGTACCCAACTCACCCAGAGCTCCCTGTTGCTCACATGATGGTAAATGTTATTTTCCCTGAGTTTTCCCCACATTCCCAGCATAGGGCGCTCGTAGATTCCGGCGCAGCTGGGAATTTCATGGATAGGCTGGTTGCGCATAGATTAGGGATTTCTATATTGCCTTTAGATGTGCCCTTCCCCATACGTGCCTTAGATAGTCGCCCTTTAGGGTCGGGTATGGTTAGGGAGGTCACAGTTCCACTCCGGATGGAGATGCAGGGGGGTCATGAGTAGAGAATTAGTCTCTTCCTTATTGATTCTCCTGCGTTTCCCGTGGTGCTGGTGCTTCCCTGGCTAACCACCCATGACCCCAGTATTTCGTGGCAACAGAGGGCTCTTAAGGGATGGTCACCTCAGTGCTCGGGAAGGTGTGTAGGGGTTTCCTTAGGGGCAACCACGGTGGAGAGTCCAAACCAGGTCTCCACAATGCACATTCCCTCAGAATATGCCGATTTGGCTCTCGCCTTCTGTAAAAGGAAGGCGATTCCGTGAGGGCGCTGCACTGCCCAGGAGTCACGTGTATCCTCTGTCACAGGAGGAGACGGTGGCTATGGAGACATATGTCACCGAATCTCTGGGACAGGGATACATTCGGCCCTCCACTTCCCCTGCCTCCTCGAGTTTCTTTTTTGTGAAGAAGAAGGAGATGGAGGTTTACGCCCGTGCATTGGCTATCGAGGTCTAAATCAGATAACCGTAAAATACAGCTATCCTCTTCCTCTCATAGCTAGTATGACGGGGTCATTGCACGGGGCGCGCTTCTTCACAAAATTGTACCTCAGGAGCGCGTACAATCTGATCCGTATCCGGGAGAGGGACGAGTGGAAGACAGCATTTAGTACCACCTCTGGTCACTATGAGTACCTCGTCATGCCGTACGGTTTGATGAATGCTCCCTCAGTCTTTCAATCCTTTGTCGATGAGATTTTCAGGGATCTGCACGGACAGGGTGTAGTGGTGTATATAGATGATATTCTCATCTACTCCGCTACATGCGATGAGCATGTGTCCCTGGTGCGCAAGGTGCTTGGTAGACTGTTGGAGCATGACCTGTACGTTAAGGCTGAGAAATGTCTGTTCTTCAAACAGTCCGTCTCTTTCTTAGGATACTGCTTGTCAGAGTCAGGGGTCGAGATGGAGTGTGACCGCATTTCAGCCGTGCATAATTGGCCGACTCCTACCACGGTAAAAGAGGTGCAGCGATTTTTGGGTTTTGCAAACTACTACCAGAGATTTTTCCGGGGCTTTGGCCAGGTAGCAGCTCCCATCACCTCTTTGCTAAAGGGCGTACCGGTGCGCCTGCAGTGGTCAGCTGAGGCGAACAGGGCTTTTGATCAGCTGAAGGCGCTGTTCACCTCGGCTCCCGTGCTGGCTCATCCGGATCCTTCCTTGCAATTCAAAGTCGAGGTGGGATAGGAGCTGTACTGTCTCAGCGCTCGGGTACGCCTCCTAAACTCCGCCCCTGTGCTTTCTTTTCGAAGAAGCTCAGCCCGGCGGAGCAAAACTATGTCGTGGGGGATCGGGAGCTGTTAGCTGTTGTGAAAGCTCTTAAGGTGTGGAGACATTGGCTTGAGGGGGCTTAACACCCTTTTCTCATTTTGACTGACCACCGCAATCTGGAGTACACACGGGCAGCGAGGAGACTGAATCCTCGTCAGGCAAGGTGGGCCATGTTTTTCACACGTTTTTTGTTCACCTTATCATATAGACCAGGTTCCCAGAATGCTAAGGCAGACGCTCTGTCCCGGCTGTATGACTCAGAGGAGCGGACCAGGGAGCCCACTCCCATACTTCCGGCTTCTTGTCTGGTGGCCCCGGTGGTACGGGAGGTTGACGCGGACATCGAGCGGGCATTACACACGGAGCCCACTCCCCCCCAGTGTCCAGTGGGTCGTGTGTACGTTCCATCTGAGGTTTGTGATCGTTTGATCTATTGGGCTCACACGTAACCCTCTTTTGGCCATCCTGGCATCGGTCGGACAGTGCGCTGTCTTAGTGGGAAGTACTGGTGGCCTACCTTAGCTCAGGACGTGAGGGTTTATGTTTCTTCCTGTTCGGTGTGCGCCCAGTGCAAGGCACCTAGACACCTGCCCAGAGGTAAATTACAACCTTTCCCCGTTCCACAACGGCCGTGGTCACACCTATCGGTGGACTTTGTTACGGATCTTCCTCCGTCATAGGGTAACACCACGATCCTGGTCGTTGTGGATCGGTTTTCTAAGTCCTGTTGTCTCATTCCGTTGCCCGGTCTCCCTACTGCCCTGCAGACCGCAGAGGCCCTGTTTACACACGTCTTCCGGCACTACGGGGTACCTGAGGATATAGTGTCTGATCGGGGTCCCCAGTTTACATCGAGGGTCTGGAGGGCGTTTATGGACCATTTGGGGGTCTCGGTCAGCCTGACCTCAGGGTTTCACCCCGAGAGTAATGGGCAGGTGGAGAGAGTAAACCAGGATGTGGGTAGGTTTCTGAGGTCGTATTGCCAGGACCGGCAGGGGGATTGGTCAGTTTACATCCCCTGGGCAGAGATGGCACAAAATTCCCTCCGCCACTCCTCCACTGACCTGTCTCCCTTTCAGTGTGTACTAGGTTACCAGCCGGTCCTGGCACCGTGGCATCATAGCGAGATCGAGGCACCTGCGGTGGATGAATGGTTTCAGCGCTCGGAGGAGACATGGAACACTGCCCATGTTCGCCTGCAAAGGGCTATTAGGAGACAGAAGGCGAGTGCCGACCGCCACCGCAGTGAGGCTCCGGTGTATGCACCGGGGAACCGGGTCTGGCTCTCGACCCGAAACCTGCCCCTTCGCCTGCCCTGCCAGAAGCTGGGTCGGTGGTTTGTGGGGCCCTTTAAAGTCCTGAGGAGACTGAACAAGGTTTGTTATAGGTTACTTCTCCCCCCGATTATCGTATTAACCCCTCGTTCCATGTGTCTCTCCTCAGGCCGGTGGTAGCTGGTCCGCTCCAGGAGTCTGAGGTGCGGGAGATTCCTCCGCCCCCATTGGACATTGAGGGGGCACCGGCATACTCGGTCCGTTCCATCCTGGATTCGAGGCGTCGGGTTGGAGGCCTGCAGTATCTCGTGGAGTGGGAGGGGTACGGTCCGGAGGAACGGAGCTGGGTTCCCAGGAGGGACATCCTCGATCCCTCCTTGTTAAGGGAGTTCCACCGTTGTCATCTGACTCGCCCTGCTCCGCATCCTCCTGGCCGTCCCCGAGGCCGGTGTCGACGCACGGCTGGAGGGGGGGGGGGGGGGGGGGTACTGTCACGGATACAGCCGAGGCTGCCCCTCCTCCTTGCTCGGGCAGGCTTCGGCGTTCGTCGTCACCAGAGTACTAGCTGCCACCGATCGATGTTTCTGTGTCACACTAGTCCTTTCTTTATTATTCACACCTGTTACTCATTAGGCTTATTGTTTTCCCTATTTTACCTCTGTTTTCCCTCCTGGGTTTGTGCGTGATTGTTCGTTGTTACGTCGTCTGTTGAGCTGTTGTTTTGCTCTTCCCTGCGTGGAGGGTTTGATATGGTTTACTTTGTGTTTAGTAAAGCCATACTTTTCTCAGTTCTGTGTCCTGTGCCTGATTCCGTTTCACCACTTCACCCAGACGCTGACACACTGTCTGTCTGTCTGTCTGTCTGTCTGTCTGTCTGTCTGTCTGTCTGTCTGTCTGTCTGTCTGTCTGTCTGTCTGTCTGTCTAAACAACAGATTAAGTCAATTCAATAAGGCTTTGTAAACAGGAAATACATGTGGGAACTAATTCAAGCACTGTATTTGTGTATAGGACGTTGGACTTGAGGGAAAGAGAGATTTTCATCTCAACTGGGATCCATCACACGTAATGCAAATATAGCCTCGGATAAAGTAGAAATACAACTATTATGCACTAATGTTTACATTTTTCCTCCTCTCCTCTCCTCTCCTCTCCTCTCCTCTCCTCTCCTCTCCTCTCCTCTCCTCTCCTCTCCTCTCCTCTCCTCTAACAGAGGAGTTCATCATTGGGGCCCAGAGGTTTGGTCAGGTGACTCCGATGGAGGTGGACATCCTGTTCCAACTGGCTGACTTGTCTGAGTCCCGGGGGTGAGTCACACACACACACACCCACATACACACACACACACACACACACACACACACACACACACACACACACGACAAGGATAGGCCTCAAATAGATAGCCCTATTCCATTTAAATAGCTTGATTACAGTTGCGTTCAAGATAGATAATTATGCAAAACAGATCATACATGATAAGCCCTCTCAACCTCAGTTTTAATTCATTGAATTCCAGCAATATTGAATGAAGCTCCATATTAGGGGAAACATTTTCCCACAGTCATTGATATAGCATAGTGTAGTCCATTCCTCTCATTGTATTTCCACATTAGCATGTATTATTGTAGTTAATACTAGTTTTCAGTTTATTGGATCTCAATAGCCTGTCCATTAATCCATGTGGTTGTCATTGGATCACTGGAGCTCGCCATACCTCTGGGACCCGGTCGTTCCTCTTCCAGAATATCTGCTTTCACTGCAGCGTGATCAAAAGAGCCAGACGTGACTCTTTTGAATCCCCTTTCACTCAACTAAGCCTTCAAAGCTCAGCACACACACACACACACACACACACACACACACACATTGGAAGGGGAGTCCACACGGCACCCCAGCGGTTCTTCTAACTGTACACGGCTCACGTTCCCATGCCTCTTGCTCCATAGGTTTGCCCGGCAGCATAGAGTACCGGTCATTTCTGCCCTCTCTGAGCACCTGATTATTATTTCTGGGCAACGGGATACTTTAATAGTCTCCACAGCCTCTGATTAGAGATGCAGGAGATAATTGTTCCTAATAATCGGAGGGGATTGAGCTGCTCCCAAATCTGGGAACGTCACAGAGATGTTATGTGGACGCCAGGCGCACGCACAGAGTTGGAGAGGCCCCTGGAATCACGGACAAATGTTGTTGTTTTGTTTGGATGCAGCGCGGATAAGAGAGAATGAGGGAGAGGGAGGTAGTTGGTCATTGATATTGTTGAATATCAGATATCGTTGAAAATTGTATCAGGGTCAGAAGGAAAAAGTCAGAAGCATTTAAATGGTATAACCGTTTGAAAGTGTTTCTTGAAATGTCAGTTTAAAGCAATTAAACTTTTCCCTCTCTCCTCTCCTCCTCTATTCCAGCCGTGTTGGTCTTGTGGACATTGACAGGATTGCTCCACTAGAGGAAGGGGCCCTCCCATACAACCTGGTGGAGGTCCAGAGACAGGTAAAAAAGAATGAAAGAAAGAAAGAAAGAAAGAAAGAAGAAAGAAAGAAAGAAAGAAAGAAAGAAAGAAAGAAAGAAAGAAAGAAAGAAAGAAGGAGAGAAAATAAGAGATATTGGCTGGGATTCAATTCAACGTATAGTGCAGTGGACTATAACACACTTTTAAAGGTAATTTACAGTTGAGCCGAAATGCGCAGCGTTTGCCATGAATGCGATCTGCGCAAATGTTGCGAAAAATGCCTTTAAAAGGTGCATTGTCGGCTGTTTAGTGACCTGCACCATAGAGCGCCTTGGATTGAATCCCGGTCATGGTTATTTTCTAACTGTAGTCTAGAAACATCTCCATGTCCTGGTAATGGTCAGAGCCTTTAAGTTCACTGATGATGTTGGGTCTTTCTATGATTGCTTTACTGAATATATATGAGCAATACACTAGGACAGACTTATCCAACATGAAACATGAGAAACTGAAGAAAATATATAATCTTTCTAAATCCCCAAATACCAGTCTGATTTCCGGTCAGATTCTCAAATGACAGCCATTGAATAAACTGCCAAGGAGAACACAACTTCTAAAAGTGTGTCTTTGATTGGATCTCTCCAAAGAAAGAAATACAATCAGACATCAGAAACCTCTCTGTGACATGTACAGTTTACTGTATCTTTGTCAATACATTTTTAAAAACCTGTTAATTTAAGACTAACTCCAGCCGTTTAGTTACAGTGCCTTCAGAAAGTATTCACACCCCTTGACTTTTTCCACATTTTGCTGTGTTACAAATTGGGATTAAAATTCACTTTGTTTTTGCTTTTTTTTTTATCTACACAAAATACTCTGTAATGTCAAAGTGAAAGAAAAATGCAAAAATAAAACACTAATATATCTTGATTAGATAAGTATTCAATACATGTTAGAATCACCTTTGGCAGCGATTACAGCTGTGAGTCTTTCTGGGTAAGTCTTTAAGGCCCCAGTTCCGACCTGAGTTAAGCATAAATGGAAGGTTATTCCCTTTCTATGCTCTGTTCTCTCTATGCGTATTCTGACCTTGAACTTAAGCATGAGAATAGCATGCTATTCACCCTCTATTTGTTCAGGGTGGAGATTTCAGAAATGAAGGATTGGCGGAGGTGTGTCTACAAATAAGCCATATTCTGACCTTGACTTGATTCCACCACCTTTACGCAAGAGGAAACCATGAATAAGGTCAAGCAAACCTGCCGGTTCCAAATGGAAAAAGCATCTACTTTCTTTTTTCAGATAGAAATAACAGCATTCTCCATGCACTGTCATTTAGAAATGGATAAGAGCTATTGACAAGTGCTAGGTAAACTATTAATCTGTTTGGAGAAGGGGATTGGAAATACACATAGCAATTGTTTTAGATGATTTTTCCTTATGATCCCTGGAGAAGAATGCGAAACCAGCCATATGGAAGCAAACTGAAAATCATATCAACATGACATGTACACTTTTCCACAGTGAAATAGGATAAAAATAGCTGTGCCGTTATTCAGAATTTTAATTGTGTACCCTCATAATTTGCGTGGATGAAATTAGGACACCCAAGCCAAAGGCTTCTATAGGGCCGAACCTACGTTGATGTATGCGCTTTAGAATGTTTTAATTATAGCCTATGCCATGGCTTTTCTCCGTTTTATTTAACAATTTGTATCATGTTAAATTATAGCCACTATCTGAAGCCACCGTTAGTAACACCCACATACATTTATAACTGTCACTTTCGTGTTCGTTTTCTTCAATTTGTAGCTTACATTTTGCATCATTCCATTCCGCTAACGTTTCTTTCCTCTGTCACATTCATTTAAGTTGTTCCTAAGGGTTGCTGGCATTTGTGGATCACATTAGGCTAACATTGTGCAATAATTTGGTATATGTAGCCTAGTTGAATTATTATGGAACTCAGATGACACGTAGCAGGTTAAATCTGGAGCTTGGTGCACGGTTCACGATGACTGGACCGCTGTCATACAGTTCCATGATTAGTGAGAATTAGGGTAGATTTACAGGACTACTGTTCAACCCTTATTGTACTCCTTTTTCCACCTTCCAATATTTCATGGATTGAACTTGAATATGACAACTTTCAGGATAAATGAAACCACTGTATTTTTTATTCATCAATATATTCTGTACGTAAAGGCTCTCCAAAGCTGTTTTTTTAAATCATTCATACATACTTTCCTAACCCTAAAATGTGCCAAAATAATCTACAAGATCAGAGTATTTTAAAATCTGCCAGTTGGTGCGGAAACTGAGATGGAGATGCATAGATGACATTCTTTCATTAATCCCTATTTTCTGAACCCGTTCTCTCTATGTATTCTATTGAGTCTGTCGACAAAATTATAATTAAAGGTACACCGTATTTAAAGGGATGGCTTAAGATAAAGGTACTGAAAACCCTATTGAATGAAAACTCCACGAGAAAATCTGTTGGCCATCAAGTTGGTAGGTTTTCAGCGGTTGAATTACATTTATTCAGCGCACGCAAGGTAACCTCGCCTGCAAAGCCTGTTACGCACCTGCATAAGGTAAGACTGATACCAACTACTAAGAAGTGAGTAGGAAAGGCGTGCATAAGAAAGGTGTAATATCCTAAGTTGGAATCAGGCCCTGGAAGCTTTGCACACCTGGATTGTACAATATTTGGCCATATATTTTTTTACTCTTCAAGCTCTGTCAAGCTCCGTGGCCTCCTGTAGCTCAGTTGGTAGAGCATGGCGCTTGCAACGCCAGGGTTGTGGGTTCGATTCCCACGGGGAGCCAGTATGAAAAATGTATGCACTCACTAAAAACTGTAAGTCGCTCTGGATAAGAGCGTCTGCTAAATGACTAAAATGTAAAATGTAAAAGTTGGTTGTTGATCATTGCTAGACAGCCATTTTCAAGTCTTGCCTAGATTTTCAAGACAATTTAAGTCAAAACTGTAACTAGGCCACTCAGGAACATTCAATGTATACAAAACATTAAGAACACCTTGTCACGGGCTGAGGTGTATGGTGTGTGGAAGTCAGGCGCAGGACACCGAAGCTAGTCCAACAAAGTTTACTGAAGTAATCCAATAGGCAAAATACAGAGAACGGCCTCAACAATAAACAGAGGCGAGAAAATACGCATACTGTGCGTAAAACAAAATGACACGAAAACAGGAACAAAACACGCAGCACAACGGACAGGCGAAAAACAACACACAATCTAGCCTAAGCAAAACAAGGAACTTATAGGACAAGTAATCAACACACAAATGGACACAGGTGTAAAAGACAGACGAAAGCAATCACACCAAGAAACATAGAGCGGTGGCAGCTAGTACTCCGGGGACGGCGAACGCCGAAGCCTGCCCGAACCAGGAGGAGGAGCAGCCTCGGCAGAATCCGTGACACACCTGCTCTTTCCATGACATAGACTGATCAGGTGAATCCAGGTGAAAGCTATGATCCCTTATTGATGTCACTTGTTACATCCACTTCAATCAGTGTATATGAAGGGGAGGAGACAAGTTAAAGAAGGATTTTTAAGCCTTGAGACATGGATTGTGTATTTGTGCCATTCATAAGTTTTGTTAGACATCAGAGCGGCTTTTGACATTATCGATCATAGTCTGCTGCTGGAAAAACGTATTATGGCATTACACCCCCTGCTATATTGTGGATAAAGAGTTACCTGTCTAACAGAACACAGAGGGTGTTCTTTAATGGAAGCCTCTCCAACATAATCCAGGTAGAATCGGGATTCCCCAGGCCAGCTGTCTAGGCCCCTTACTTTTTAAAATCTTTACTAACGACATGCCACTGGCTTTGAGTAAAGCCAGTGTGTCTATGTATGCGGGTGACTCAACACTATACACGTCAGCTACTACAGCGACTGAAATAACTGCAACAGTTAACAAAGAGCTGCAGTTAGTTTCAGAATGGGTGGCAAGGAATAAGTTAGTCCTAAATATTTCAAACTAAAAGCATTGTATTTGGGACAAATCATTCACTAAACCCTAAACCTCAACTAAGTTTTGTAATGAATAATGTGGAAATTGAGCAAGTTGAGGTGACTAAACTGCTTGAAGTAACCCTGGATTGTAAACTGTCATGGTCAAAACATATTGATACAACAGTAGCTAAGGGGAGAAGTCTGTCCATAATAAAAACTGCTCTGCATTCTTAACAGCACTATCAACAAGGCATGTCCTACAGGCCCTAGTTTTGTCGCACCTGGACTACTGTTCAGTCATGTGGTCAGGTGCCACAAAGAGGGACTTAAGAAAATTGCAATTGGCTCAGAACAGGGCAGCACGACTGGCCCTTGGATGTACACAGAGAGCTAACATTAATAATATGCATGTCAATCTCTCCTGGCTCAAAGTGGAGGAGAGATTGACTTCATCACTATTTGTATTTGTGAGAGGTATTGACATGTTGAATGCACCGAGCTGTCTGTTTGAACTATTGGCACACAGCTTGGACACCCATGCATGCCACCAGAGGTCTCTTCACAGTCCCCAAGTCCAGAACAGACTATGGGAGGTGCACGGAACTACATAGAGCCATGACTACATGGAACTCAATTCCACATCAAGTAACTCATGCAAGCAATAAAATTAGATTGAAAAAAAACCCCAGATAAAAATACACCTTATGGAACAGCGGGGACTGTGAACAGACACAAACACATGCACAGACACACAAATACACGATAATACACATGGATTTTGTGTTGTAGATATGTGGTAGTAGAGTAGGGGCCTGAGGGCACACACTTAATGTGTTGTGAAATCTGTTGTGAATGTATTGTAATGTTTTAGCTGGGCCCCAGGAAGAGTAGCTGCTACCTTGGCAGCAGCTAATGGGGATCCATAATAAATACAAATACAAATGGGCAAGACAGAACATTTAAGTGCCTTTGAACGGGGTATGGTAGGAGGTGCCAGGCGCACCGGTTTGAGTGTATCAAGAACTGCAACGCTGCTGGGTCTTTCACGCTCAACAGTTTCCCGTGTCTATCAAGAATGGTCCACCACCCAAAGGACATCCAGCCAACTTGACACAACTGTGGAAAGCTTTGCAGTCAACATGGGCCAGCATCCCTGTGGAACGGCTTTCGACACCTTGTAGAGTCCATGCCCTGGCGAATTGAGGCTGTTCTGAGGGCAAAAGGGGGGGGGGGGGGGTGCAAATCAATATTAGGAAGGTGTTCCTAATGTTTGGTATACTCAGTGTATATTTGGGCTTGAGTTTTAGGTTATTGTCCTGCTGAAAGGTGAATTTGTCTCCCAGAGTCTGTTGGAAAGCAGACTGAACCAGGTTTTCCTCTAGGATTTTGCCTGTGCTTAGTTCTATTCCGTTTATTTTTATCCCCCCCAAAACTCCCTAGTCCTTGATGATAACATGATGCAGCCACCAACCATGCTTGCAAATATGAAGAGTGGTACTCAGTGATGTGTTGTATTGGATTTGCCCCAAACATAATGCTTTGTTTTCAGGACAAAAAGTTAATTTCTTTGCCAAATTTTTTGCAGTATTACTTTAGTGCCTTATTGCAGACAGGATGCATGTTTTGGAATATTTGTATTCTGTCAAGACTTTTCACTCTGTCATTTAGATTAGTATTGTGGAGTAACTACAATGTTGTTGATCCATCATCAGTTTTCTCCTATCAAAGCCAATAAACTGTAACTATCATGGTGAAATCCCTGAGCAGTTTCCTTCCTCCCCAGCAACTGAGTTCAGAAGGACACCTTTAACTTTGTATTGACTAGGTGTATTGATACACCATCCAAAGCATAATTAATAACTTTATTTTTACCCATCTACCAATAGGTGCCCTTCTTTGCGAGGCCTATTGAGGCTTGCCATAGCAAAGGGGTTGAATACTTATTGACTCAAGACATTTCAGCTTTTAATTGTTTATTAATTTGTAAAAAAACAAACAAAAAAAAACATCCACTTTGACATTGTGAGGTACTGTGTGTAGATCAGTGGCACAAAACGTATATTTAATCCATTTTAAATTCAGGCTGTAACACAACAAAATGTGGTAAAAGTCAAGGGGTGTGAATACTTTCTGAATGCACTGTATCTCAAATATACTGAGGGGGGAAATGAAAAATGACTAAGTGAAGGGGGTTTGAAACAAAACAGCCGAGGAAGAAACAAAAGGTAAAGAAAAAAGAGGTTGGATGGATGGATGTTTCTTTTTTTACTCCTGTTCGAAGCTCTGCCTGGTCTGCAGAGTGAGAGTGCGGCGTTGTGGGGTGATTTCCTCCTCCTCCCCTGACTGCAGCCAGGCTAGGCTCCAGGCCGGACCGGAGCAGGGGCCCCGGTTAGAGACGCCAGTCCCACCACAATGAGCCGTTTTGGGCTGTGGTCTAGCCTCCGCGGGCTGCTGGCCAGCTCTCCCTCTGAACCTCCAACCTCCACCCCTCCTCTCTGCCCTTCTCCACCCCCAACGTCACTGGCTGTGACTCAGAGAAACATGGAGGGAGGAGGGAAAGGAAGGGGGGGGGGGGTGTTCTGGGGGCATTAGGGACTGACAGAGTGGGGTTAGGGGCTCAGATAGTTCCTGACAGTAGGACCTGTTCCAGAGAGGGGCCCACCTCGCTACCTTCTTTACCCAGGGATGAGGGCTGGGCAGGCCTGGCCAGGCGACAGGTACCCCCGGCTGGGAATGTGGAGCAGAATGCTTGGATGATCTGTCTGGCTATCACTGTCTAACAGCAATAGTAACACTCAGCTGGTTTTGTGCTCTGATGTGTGCCAATGGCATGGGCAGGGGCTGAGGTGGCATCCAATCGAAGTAAGGCTTCTGATTCTGGATTTGTTCCACTAACTTCCTACCCAATGCTTCTGTGCCTGATTGGAGTTTCTCAAACTAATCTCTGTAATTCAAGAGAGTTTTAACATTCAAACGGATGGGAATCGATGCCAGAGGGCAATTAATATAATCACTGTATGCCGTCATAAATGTGAATATATAGCCTATAGAGATCATAAAAATGGAATGAAATATCTTGTGGCGTTACATGAGATGACTAAGTACAGCATGTGATGTTGTCTAATCATGTCATGACTCATGAGACAGAATAGACAACAGTGTTTTATTCAGCATCGTGATTCCCTGAGGTGAACTTCACACTTCAAATCTTTAAGCTTTTCTAAAGGACAGATGAAATATAGACATGAAACTGATTCTGATGACGCCTGTAAACTGTCTGATCTGAATTGATGTAGGACTGAATATAAATTAGCTTTGTAATGGGAACTGCTCTTGTTACTCTGGGAATCAGGATGGGACTAAAGGCGTCCACATGCTTCCCAGCCGGAAGAGTTTGTACATATATTATGATGACATTTTGTTAGTTTTTGTTAGTTTTGGACTTCGGTGAGGGTTTTTTCGGCTGTTTGGGCACACACATTTTTTTCTGGAGGTAAGCCGAAGTTCTTTGGTGATTGGTCAACAGTGGGGATTCCTCAATAAAGTCTTTGTTGTCATTCAATGAGAGACGACTCGTTTTAATGCAATTTATTTTATTGAGAAATACTGCGGCAAACATCTTACATAAATATAAAATTGTGCAACTAAGATCTCCTCTGTAAAAACGTCAAAATGAATGACAGATTTCTTGAGTTATCTTAATTCTGACTATTTTGAGGAAGTGTATACTCGCTACGGTGTCTCAAAATGGACAAACAGTACTATTGCTGCTTTTTTCTCATTTTTCAAGCGAAGGTCTTTTAAGGGAGTATGCGAGCACAATCGTTCGGCTAGGCGCCTGCCTTAAGGGCTCAACTACAAGGTCTGGCTTGTCTGATATCTCTTTCTCTCTTTTTTCTCTCTCTCTCTTTTCTCTCTCTCTCGTGAGCTCTCCGCACTATCGCTTAGCTCTTTCTCTCTCTCATCTCTCTTTTCTTGTCTCGCGAGCTGATCTCCTCGATCTTGACTTTATGCCTTTCTATATCTTCTCTCCTCTCATCTTTCTCTCTATCTCTTTCTCTCTCTCTCTCTCTCTCTCTCTCTCTCTCTCTCTTCTCTCTCTCTCTCTCTCTCTCTCTCTCTCTCTCTCTCTCTCTCTCTCTCTCTCCCCATTTCTCCCCCTCTCTCTGTTATGTCTCTCTCTTTCAGCTGTCCGGTGGGGACCCATCCCGCTCTGTTCTCATCCAGGTAGCAGAGTCCGCCTACAGGTTTGGCCTGGGCTCCATCGCTGGCGGTAAGTCAAGGCTACGTCTCAAATGGCACCCTATTCCCTATGTAGTGGATAACTTGTCAAAAGTAATGCACTACATAGGGAAAAAGGTGCCATTTGGGACAAGTCCCATGTCAAGTCACGAATCATTGTGTCACCACCACCCCCTCACCCCTCACCTGCCCCCTGGTCTCTACCCCCCCTCCATCACCCTCATAAGAAAAGGAGAAACAAAGGGCTTCCTATTGCGTTCTGCAGGGGCGATTCCTCCACCACTTAAATAGGACAGGGGCTCTATGCACCATGGGAACCTCCCTGTGTTTGGACTCTTTTGTACCTGTAAATGATCAGAGAGAAGGGGCTTTTTGGGGGAGGGGTTCGGTGGAGGGGTGGGGGCAGTGTGGGGTCGAGCGGTCGGGCGGTGGATGTGGTGCCTGGGCCTGTGTTTAGCTCCAGCCTACTCCCCTCCCTCCACATCAAATTTCTAGCCAACATTTTGAATTGAATAACATTGCTTGTGAACTTCAGAGCTGTAACGATTTGACACTTTGGCTTTGATTAAAGGCAAGTACAAACAGATAGTAGTCATGGCTCCTGCTGGAGAGTCCACATCCTGGGTGATGGGAAACAACGTTATCATCTCACTGGCTTCTTCACTGGCCAACTCTCATTGGCTATTGCTGATCACCGTTCTCAAAACTACTCACACTACAAGAGCATTGCAGATTTTGTGCCAATAAAATCAAACAAAAATATTAGGACGTCTGGGACTGCTCAAAGACAGGATCGGTAGCCCTCAGATTGCCGTGCGCCCTGAGCAACGACGTGGGGATTTTGTCTCAGATTTCAGAAACGTGTCTGTGACAGCCAATTCGGGGCCAAAATTGTGTAGTGTACACCTGGCTTTAATAACGACCTAAAAACGTATTTCTAAAGTCTTCTCTCCCCTCCCTACTACCTTCATAATGTTTATGTAACGTGTTTTTCCAGCTGTGGGAGCCACAGCAGTGTACCCCATAGACTTAGTGAAGACCAGGATGCAGAACCAGAGGACCACAGGCTCCCTGGTGGAAGAGCTCATGTACAAGAACAGCTTTGACTGCTTCAAGAAGGTGGTGCGCTATGAAGGCTTCTTCGGTCTCTATAGAGGTCAGTACCAGATGAGATGTGTCCAAAATGGCACCCTATTCCCTATATAGTACTCTGCTTTTGACCAGAGTAGTGCACTATATAGGGATATAGTGACAGGCTAATGGGTAGAGAGAGACACAGATTTAGGATCAGTTTACCCTCTCAACCATAAATTGGAAAAACACAAATCTGACCATAGATTAGCGTCTAGCTGTGACTTCATGTCACTCCATCACAACAACAGATGGGGTTTAGAGGTTTGGCAGAGGAGAGGGGGAGAGGAGAGAGGAGGAGGAGGAGAGGAGGGCAGGTTTGAGTTCACCTTCCCTGTGACCTGGCTTCTTTGAAGTGATTACAGGTAGTCTCTGGAGTTTCGGGAGGACAATGCACGTCACACGCAAAGGCCAGATACCAGCAGAGCTCTGTCACAATGGTAGTGTGTGACTGCCCCTTCCAGACTTCAACTGGCATTCATATAATAAGTACCTGCACTCAGGGAGCGGGGGGTAGAGGGAGAGGGAGGGAGGTTCTCAAACACACACTATATTGGGGGGCGGCTTTTGGAATTCTCAGGATTATGATTGACAGGCGAGTTCTCCCTTGAGGGTTCTATGAGGAAGTGGGAAGTCTTAGTGTCTGTCAGAGGACACCAAGCCATTAGAGAGGTCTCTGACATTACAGACCTGGCTCCGTCGCACGGGTACAGACATCAGATGTGCGTTCCAAATGGCACCCTATTCCCTTTATAGTGCACTACTTTCGACCAGGACCCATAGGGCTCTGGTCAAAAGTAGTGCACTATGAATAGGGGGCCATTTGGGAAGCATACCATGTGACAAAAAACATCAAACGGTGCAGATCAATTTGAACGGCTGTCTGGAGTCTGGACTTTGAAAGAGAAATTCAAAGAGAAACTTTCTTATAGTTTCTTGAATCTCACCCATTTTATTCACAATTCCCTCATTAACATTGATCTACTGTGTAATAATGCTGGTTATGTTATATTAGCCACTGAGGAGAGTGTCATAAGCCAACTTTATCTAATGTAATGAAGCTGAGCATTTTCCATTAGAATGGTGAGACAGCCAGACCAGACCAGAACACACACACACACACACACAAACACACAAAGACACTGCAAACACTAGGATGATGTGATGGTCTCTACATTTACATTTACATTTTAGTCATTTAGCAGATGCTCTTATCCAGAGCGACTTACAGTTATCTAGACGGGAACCCTTGCTAATGCAGCATGAGAAAACAATAAGCATCTCTTAACTACAACTGTGAACTGCTATGGGCCATTTAATACAAAAATGGCTTGTGTGTGGTTCTCTGCCTGAGCCCTTCCACAAACACAACTAACACTCCTGTTTCTGTTTGTGTGTCCCAGCCCAGCTGAAGCTAATCATATGTTTGTGCTCCTGTGTCTGTCTATGTGTGGCCTGTTTTGGGCCCTGCGTTCACAACCCCCCTTCACCCCCTCCACTATTAAGTTTGTTTGTTACTTTAGGGATGGGGGAGGGAGGAAGGTGGGGGGTAGTAAGAGGGGTGGGGGGTCCATCCATCGCACTCTAATCAGATTCTTTTGTTTATTTTTATCCGCCTGGAAGTCTTTGGGTTGTAAGAAGTCTTTGCGTTGTAATTGAGGGCTGTGTAAACTTTGGTTAGTGTTTTATGTATTTTCTTCTATTCTGGGAAGGAGCTACTAGTCGATGTTTCTTTCACTTTGTTAGTCTGTTAAGACCCTGATGTCCCCACACCACATCAGTAGTGTTCATTAGTGTCTGGGGATCAGGCAGAATTGGATTCAGCAGGGTATGTGTTTAATGTGGAGGGGGACTGTGCTGTGTGCTGTGCTGTGTGTGTACACTTGCCTGTGTGTGTTCTACTTCCTTGGCCCTTCTCTTTTCTAATCATGTTGTGTCCTAATGACAGGTCTGGTACCACAGCTACTGGGTGTGGCCCCGGAGAAAGCCATAAAGCTGACAGTAAGTGCCTTGTTTTCGCCACATGGAGACCAGTCAGGCCCCAGTCACCACGGAGCCCCTCACTGGGCCCTAGTTTAACATTTACCTCGAGTTTTAGTTTAATGTACAGTACAGATTTTATGTGCACACTCACACACTCTCACACGCACACACTCACACACACACATGCAGGCACACACATACAAACTCACACACACACACACCACCCCACCACCTCAATGTACTCCATCTGTTTGGTTTCAATCAGACCTCATGATGAAACGTTAAAGTACTTCTACTCTACTGTGTGTGGTACAGTGAAATATTACTGTTACTCCAATCACATTACTAGTGGCCCTTTAAGCTTAGTTGAACAATATCCTCTCCCTCTGTATTGTGTGTGTGTGTGTGTGTGTGTGTGTGTGTGTGTGTGTGTGTGTGTGTGTGTGTGTGTGTGTGTGTGTGTGTGTGTGTGTGTGTGTGTGTGTCTGACTGTCTCTCTCTCTGTGTGTGTCTAATGTTTAGTGTTCTCACCACAGGTCAATGACTTTATCAGAGGGAAGACCAGACAGAAGGATGGATCAATCCCTGTACCTGCTGAGATCCTGGCTGGTGCATGTGTGAGTATCATCTAATTAATCAACCTCCATCCACATAGAAGCTAACTAGACAGGCACGTTTTACCTGTTGCAGGTTTGGGCCCACTGGAGGATGACAGTCACGTCTTGCACCACCAAGTGACCTGAGATCAGGTGTTTTTAAGCTCGACGACACAAAGACGGAGACAGACAGGGCTGCTACCTGAGAGACTGCCCCCCTCCCCCACCTCGACCCCACTACCCCAACCCCGTGTTTGATCAGTGAGCTGTCACACACTCTGACCCACCCCCCCACCCCATCCCTTTAGTTCTACCTGACCCTATAGCGTCACCCCCCCACCAACCAATGAATAGAGGCCTTTCACCAGGGAGCTGTTTGATGCTGATCACTAAAGCAGAATATTTGGGGTACACAAGTCATTATGTTTACCCACATACTTGCCATGTGCACGCAAGCGAATACAACTCAATTATGGCTATGAATGAATGTTTTGAGGAGGTTTCAATGGAGAGATTTTGAAATGAGAGACGTCAGTATGGAAATTGTGTCGCAAATAAAACATGTAGAGTGGAATGTTGAAGATAGAAAGGCCAGCTTATTCTTTATCTTGAGTGTCGGAAAAAAGGTCAATCTGTACTCTGTACATGCTGTACGTTCAGGCTAGAGTAGAGGGAGGTAGTGTATGTGGAGTGGAATGAGGATGGATGGATTTTTCCTATTTTTCTCTGTGAGCTGTTCTGACAGCTCCTTTCATCCTGTCTCAGCTTCTGGTGTTAGTGCTGTTATCACTCACACACACACCCCAGCTCACACACACACCCCAGCGCACACACACACACACACACACACACACACACACACACACACACACGCATGCGTACAGAGACACACACATGGGCGCGGGCACACACACAGAGACATACACAGACAGACACATACCTATCCGCACACACACAGACACACACACACAGACACATATACACACACAGAGAGACATACACACACACACACACACAGACACACAGACACACATACACACACAGAGAGACATACACACACACAGACACACATACACACACAGCGAGACATACACACACACAGACACATATACACACACAGAGAGACATACACACACATACAGATACACACACACACACACACCTACACTCACACACACACCCTGTTTAGTGGACTTCAGCCACATCACATGAAGTCTGTTTATATGATTAGGAAACTGTGAAAGTATTGGTTTGGACTCCGGCGACAGTCCCAGACCAGTAGTCTGACAGGCGACAGTCCCAGACCGGTAGTCTGACAGGCGACAGTCCCAGACCGGTAGTCTGACAGGCGACAGTCCCAGACCAGTAGTTTGACAGGCGACAGTCCCAGACCAGTAGTCTGACAGGTGACAGTCCCAGACCAGTAGTCTGACAGGTGACAGTCCCAGACCGGTAGTCTGACAGGTGACAGTCCCAGACCAGTAGTCTGACAGGTGACAGTCCCAGACAGGTAGCCTGACAGGTGACAGTCCCAGACCGGTAGTCTGACAGGTGACAGTCCCAGACCAGTAGTCTGACAGGCGACAGTCCCAGACAGGTAGCCTGACAGGCGACAGTCCCAGACCGGTAGTCTGACAGGTGACAGTCCCAGACCGGTAGTCTGACAGGTGACAGTCCCAGACCAGTAGTCTGACAGGTGACAGTCCCAGACAGGTAGCCTGACAGGCGACAGTCCCAGACCAGTACTCTGACAGGTGACAGACCCAGACCAGTAGTCTGACAGGCGACAGACCCAGACCAGTAGTCTGACAGGCGACAGTCCCAGACCGGTAGTCTGACAGGCGACAGTCCCAGACCAGTAGTTTGACAGGCGACAGTCCCAGACCAGTAGTCTGACAGGTGACAGTCCCAGACCGGTAGTCTGACAGGCGACAGTCCCAGACCGGTAGTCTGACAGGCGACAGTCCCAGACCAGTAGTCTGACAGGTGACAGACCCAGACCAGTAGTCTGACAGGCGACAGACCCAGACCGGTAGTCTGACAGGCGACAGTCCCAGACCGGTAGTCTGACAGGTGACAGTCCCAGACCAGTAGTCTGACAGGCGACATACCCAGACCGGTAGTCTGACAGGTGACAGTCCCAGACCGGTAGTCTGACAGGTGACAGTCCCAGACCAGTAGCCTGACAGGCGACAGTCCCAGACCGGTAGCCTGACAGGCAACAGTCCCAGACCGGTAGTCTGACAGGTGACAGTCCCAGACCAGTAGTCTGACAGGTGACAGTCCCAGACAGGTAGCCTGACAGGCGACAGTCCCAGACCGGTAGTCTGACAGGTGACAGTCCCAGACCAGTAGTCTGACAGGTGACAGTCCCAGACAGGTAGCCTGACAGGCGACAGTCCCAGACCGGTAGTCTGACAGGTGACAGTCCCAGACCGGTAGTCTGACAGGTGACAGTCCCAGACCAGTAGTCTGACAGGTGACAGTCCCAGACCAGTACTCTGACAGGTGACAGTCCCAGACCAGTAGTCTGACAGGCGACAGTCCCAGACGAGTACTCTGACAGGTGACAGTCCCAGACCAGTAGTCTGACAGGCGACAGACCCAGACCGGTAGTCTGACAGGTGACAGTCCCAGACCGGTAGTCTGACAGGTGATAGACCCAGGCCAGTAGCCTGACAGGCAACAGTCCCAGACCGGTAGTCTGACAGGTGACAGTCCCAGAGCGGTAGTTTGACAGGCGACAGTGCCAGACCGGTAGTCTGACAGGCGACAGTCCCAGACCGGTAGTCTGACAGGCGACAGTTCCAGACTGGTAGTCTGACAGGCGACAGTCCCAAACCGGTAGCCTGACAGGCGACAGTCCCAGACCAGTAGTCTGTAAATAACGTTTTTTACAAATATCTTACTGTTAAATAGGACTGGTGAGGATCTAGTCATAATCGGGGCCGAGCGGGCGCGAAAGCGCTCTGGGGAAGGGGAGGGAGAGGAGAGGAGCGAGGCGCGGAGCGGTGAGGCGAGAGAGGAGCGGAGCCTCTTCTCCTCTCTTCTCTTCTCCTCTCAGAAGGATAGGAGCCTCTCTCTCCTCTCCTCTCTTCTCGGGCGGGCTTCTCTCTCGACTTTTCTGAGACGGGGCAGCGGGAGGCGCCTTGCGAGGAGCAGCGAGGCGCAGTCGGGGTCTCGAGGCGAGGAGCGGAGCTGGCCAAGGAGGGCGTGGAGTCGGGGGGTGCCGAGGATATGAGCGAGAGCCTCGGTATCGGCGGGAAGAAGTAGAGAAGCGCGCGACAAAGGAATCCTAAAACCCGCTCGGAGCTGGCGTGAGGGGTTGGGGCGGAGAGCCGGGCCGTGCTACTCGGGCGGAGGCCTGAACGAGGGCGTGGCCCGTACCTCTGCGCGGCTTCGGACCTCTTCCACACTATGATGGCTCCTCTCAACACGTTGATGGGTCGCTCTGAGCTGGCGACCCGCTGCGACCGTCCCACATCGCAACTTTGCCGTGGGCCCTAGCGCTCCGCTCCGCAGCGGGCACGGTCTGGCCGCCAGCGCCGCTACTGCCCCAGGTTCTCTCCGTCGATGCGCGCGCGGCGAGGACCACGGAGGCAGCGCCCAGGCGGGGCAGGGGCAACCACGAACGGGAAGCGACCGCCCACCACGGCCTGCGCGGCGCCGAGGTAACACGCCAGTCACAGGAGTCACCTTACCATAGTCATCCACCCAGATCCTCTCTTCCCGAGCCTCACCGTCCTAGCCCTCTCGCAGGATCTATCAACCCTCATGTCATCTCCCCTCCCTACGTCACGCCTCTCTCGAACATGTCCCCCATTCCTCTCCCCCTCTCTTCTCCTCTTTCCCCACTCATGTCATCTCCCCTCCCCACGTCCCTCTCTTCTCCTATTTCCCCTCCTTCCTCTCTCCCCTTCTCTTCTCCTCTTTCCCCACTCATGTCATCTCCCCTCCCTACTCCCCTCCCTGTAGCCTCAGAATAGAATTAAGCTCAGTGAGGGTTGCCAGTTCTTAATGATTATTTGGTAAGAACGGCATGCTGCGTTGACTGAGATGCTGCTGGCTGGCTGGATGCCTATCAGGCGGTCACTGGCCCTCATTTGAGGTCTTGGTTACTCAAAATACACACTCGGCCAATGTCAAGAGCACAGAAAGCAACAGGAGGAAGAGAGAGAGCGAGAGAGAGAGAAGGAGGGAGGGAATACAGTGTTGCTTTGTTAGTTTTCACTGTAGCAATTATTCAGTGTAAATCGCTTCAATTAGATTGTTAAGCCTTTGTAATGATTTGTTATTCGGCTCCGTTTCGAGGGCTAAAAACATTTATCACAACGTTTAACACCCACATGAGAACATAAACACACACACACACATAAATGCATGCAAGCTTGTTTAATCGCCATTTGAGCATTCTCTTGGCACCTATGAAAGTGTGAGTGGTTATTAATGGAGGGTGGCTAATGTTTGCTAACTTGCACTAAGCTATTGTATGCCTTTGAAAAGTAAAATGTTAGCTGTTATCCCCTGGGTGTGTGTGTGTTTGTGTGTGTGTGTATGTGTGTTGGTATGTGTGTGTGCGTATACATGGCCACGTGATGTGTGTGTGTGGAGTTGCTGACGTGAGAGTGCAGTCAGCTCTGCGGTCTAGGCCCCTCATCTCTCTGCAACACACACACTGTGTCTGTAGTGCTGGAGCGTGTCTGAGGTGCTGACTCTCAAAACTCCTAAGGGGATCACCTTGCCTTGTAATTACCTGGGAATTATCAGCGCGCCACCGACTGTGTCACTCTGTAATCAAATCTCTCTCTCTCTCTCTCTCTGTCTCTCTCATTCTGTCTCTCTCACTCTCTCGCCCTCTTTGTCTGTCTCTCTCTACCCCTTTCTCTCTCTTTCCCTATCTATCTCTCTCTCCATCTCTCTCCCTTTCTCTTCTCCCCCCTCTCCATCGCTCTCCTTTCGCCCCCCTCTCCATCTCCTCTCCCCTTGCCCACCTCCCCCCCCTCCATCTCTCTCTCTTTCTTGCCACCCCCCTCTTCTCCATCTCTCTCCCTTTCTCCCCCCCTCTCCATCTCTCTCCCTTTCTCCCCCCCCCTCCATCTCTCTCCCTTTCTCCCCCCCTCGCTCCATCTCGTCTACCCTTTCTCTTCCCCCCCCTCCCCCTGAACAGACGTGTTCTGTTTCTCGTGTCTGAACAGTCCCTAATAGTGGTGGTGGTTTCTCTAACCTGTCTTGTTGTTTGCTGTCCTTAACATAAAAGAATCCCCCAATTAGTGTCCAATTGATGTGAGCTGAAGTGGACCTAATTCCAGTTCATCATCTCCGTGTCCAACGGACCCGTAATAAATGCATTGCTATTAGAGGGCCGCTGTAATCAACTATGAAAGATCATTTTCCACAGGAAGAAATAGTTATAACGTTGTAGCGGTGAGACGTTAGAATTAAGAATCGGCCTCCTGCTATTCACTGCCCTCATTAAGGGCTGGAAGGGAAGTGTGGGTCGGTTCTGCTCCACTCTAATTAGAGTTCTGGAAGGGAAGTGTGGGTCGGTTCTGCTCCACTCTATTTAAAGTTCTGGAAGGGAAGTGTGGGTTGGTTCTGCTCCACTCTATTTAAAGTTATGGATGGGAAGTGTGGGTCGGTTCTGCTCCACTCTATTTAAAGTTCTGGAAGGGAAGTGTGGGTCGGTTCTGCTCCACTCTATTTAAAGTTCTGGATGGGAAGTGTGGGTCGGTTCTGCTCCACTCTATTTAAAGTTCTGGATGGGAAGTGTGGGTCGGTTCTGCTCCACTCTATTTAAAAGTTCTGGATGGGAAGTGTGGGTCGGTTCTGCTCCACTCTATTTAAAGTCCTAATACCTTCAATGAGACGATTATGATCTCTCCCTCGAAATATGGGAACGCTTACTTACGAATTCGAGGGCGGCTGTTAAAAAATGCACATGGTTGCAGATTCAGATTGAGAGAGAGAGAGAGACAGAGAGAGTTCCAGAATGGTTGCCGCCTTCCCGGCTAACTATGTCCCGGCTCTCCCTCTCCGTGCCGAGACGCAGTTAGCTATAAACACAGTTTTAAACGCCGCCGCCTCCGCACTGCACCCCCAGCTCTAGATACCATAGCTGTAGCCTGAAAGCTCTCTGAGAGGAACCTGTCTGAGAGGAACCTGTCTGGGCCTGTGGCTGGGTGTTTGATCTCCAGCACCAAGTACAAGGTTGGAGCGTTGTTAGGACAGAACCCCTCAGGCAGGGTAGAACTGAATAAGGATTGTTTAGAGACTAGAGACAGACCTGGGAGCCTGTCTACAGTGAACATATATTACTGACAGATCTAGGAGCCTGTCTACAGTAAACACCTTTTACTGCTGGTGTAGCCTATTTGAACTGTCCTGTGAGGTCCCTATAAGGGCACCATCAGTGTACACTGATGGGTACACTCCGTTACCTAGCTACAGTGGTCACTTACAGCCCATTGTGTTACAGTTTTATTACAAAAATATTCCCCTTGTGCTGCTGATAATTCAGGTTTCATAAAACACTTCTCTAGTGCTGTAAATCCTTTCCCCACTCTCTGTCTGTCTGTGTGTGTGTGTGTGTGTGTGTGTGTGTGTGTGTGTGTGTGTGTGTGTGTGTGTGTGTGTGTGTGTGTGTGTGTGTGTGTGTGTGTGTGTGTGTGTGTGTGTGTGTGTGTGTGTGTGTGTGTGTGTGTGTGTGTGTGTGTCCGTCCAGGCGGGTGGTTCTCAGGTGATCTTCACCAACCCTCTGGAGATCGTGAAGATCCGTCTGCAGGTGGCTGGAGAGATCACCACCGGCCCCCGCGTCAGCGCCATATCTGTCATCAAGGACCTGGGCTTCTTTGGCCTCTACAAGGTAGGTCCTCCTGTACACCTAGCACTGGATTCAAAGACAGGGACAACTAGGACATAGCTGTACTTAACCCCTCAGCTACAATAGCAACTGAATCAGGTAGAGATTGCTAGTGAGGGCCTATGAGGTGGACCGTAGGGCCCCCCAGGGCCAGGTAGCAGGGAGCATGGCTGAGATTGAGATATAAACAATGTGAGGTAACTGTGTAACAATGGCCATGGTAATAATGGAATGAATACCAGTGACTCAGGTAGGTAGAGGGGCTCTGAGTTTTGTTTTCAAGGGAATGTTGGATGGTGATTTGAGCTCTGGCAGGTGTTACCTTTAGGCTTTATTTTAGAACTACGGTGAGTCACTCTCGTTATGGAGAGGTTGGTTTTTAAAAGGGCACCGATGATGATCAGTGTCGTTGATTCCTGAAGCCTTTTAAAGAGTTCTAGCTCACATTAAAGCTGTGGGCGTTAACACTTGTTTGGGTTTCATTTAAATGAAATCTCCAAGTTCCTTTATCTATAGCTTACAGATACTACCCCTTTCTCTTTTTGTAGCAAAGTTTCAGTTCTATTTCTTCCCAGGTTTGTCCCATGTTAGTCGTTTGTGTTCGTCAATCAGTGTGTGTGTCTGTGTGTGAGTGAGAGTGCTGAACCTGATGCCTCCACTTGTATGTGTTTGTCTGTGTCTGTCTGTGTGTATGTATGTATGTGTGTGTGTGTATGTGTCTGTCTGTGTGTATGTATGTATGTGTGTGTGTGTATGTGTCTGTCTGTGTGTGTGTATGTATGTATGTGTGTGTGTGTATGTGTCTGTGTGTGTGTGCGCGTCTACAGTATGTCTGCTCCGTCGTATGTATGAGAATGCTGAATCCAGTATGACGGTAGTGGTGCCTCCCCTGTCTCTCTCTGTGTCTCCTGTCCTCCTGCTGAGACAATGTGCATTGAGAGAGAAGCAGGAGGGCCCGGGAAGGCCCAGACAGGCTCCAGCCTGTGAGTCCCAGACGGGCTGGCTCCTCAAGGCTGTGCCCAGGCACAGAGCACCCTTTGTCAGGCTAATTACCCTGCCCCTCAGCCTCTCTCTCTGCCTCTCCCTGCTACCTACCTCCGCTCCACTGCTGGAGGGGCTGGCTGACTGACTGACTGACTGACTGGCTGGCTGGCTGGCTGACTGGCTGACTGGCTGATGCGCTAGTGCCACCACTGCTCACAGTGAGAACTCCAACTATGATCCTATCACATGTATGGTATTGCTGTATGTGCAGTGCAGTATTTATCAAGACAAACCTATTCACTCATATAAACACATACATTCTGAAGTTTACATACACCTTAGCCAAATACATTTAAACTCAGTTTTTCACAATTCCTGACATTTAATCTTAGTAAAAATTCCCTGTTTTAGGTCAGTTAGGATCACCACTTTATTTTAAGAATGGGAAATGTCAGAATAATAGTAGAGAGAATGATTTATTTCAGCTTTTATTTCTTTCATCACATTCCCAGTGGGTCAGAAGTTTACGTACACTCAATTAGTATTTGGTAGCATTGCCTTTAAATTGTTTAACTTGGGTCAAACATTTCGGGTAGCCTTCCACAAGCTTCCCACAATAAGTTGGGTGAATTTTGGCCCATTCCTCCTGACAGAGCTGGTGTAACTGAGTCAGGTTTGTAGGCCTCCTTGCTCGCACACGCTTTTTCAGTTCTGCCCACACATTTTCTATAGGATTGAGGTCAGGGCTTTGTGATGGCCACTCCAATACCTTGACTTTGTTGTGCTTAAGCCATTTTGCCACAACTTTGGAAGTATGCTTGGCTTACCTGGTTAAATAAAGGTGAAATAAAATAAAAATAAATACATTTGTCCATTTGGAAGACCCATTTGCGACCAAGCTTTAACTTCCTGACTGATGTCTTGAGATGTTGCTTCAATATATCCACATAATTTTCCTTCCTCATGATGCCATCTATTTTGTGAAGTGCACCAGTCCCTCCTGCAGCAAAGCACCCCCACAGCATGATGCTGCAACCCCCGTGCTTCACGGTTGGGATGGTGTTCTTCGGCTTGCAAGCGACCCCGTTTTTCCTCCAAACATAACGATGGTCATTATGGCCAAACAGTTCTATTTTAGTTTCATCAGACCAGAGGACATTTCTCCAAAAAGTACGATCTTTGTCCCCATGTGCAGTTGCAAACCGTAGTCTGGCTTTTTATGGCGGTTTTGGAGCCGTGGCTTCTTCCTTGCTGAGCGGCCATTCAGGTTATGTCGATATAGGACTCGTTTTACTGTGGATATAGATACTTTTGTACCTATTTCCTCCAGCATCTTCACAAGGTCCTTTGCTGTTGGTCTGGGATTGATTTGCACTTTTCGCACCAAAGTACGTTCATCTCTAGGAGACAGAACGCGTCTCCTTCCTGAGCGGTATGACAGCTGCGTGGTCCCATGGTGTTTATACTTGCGTACTATTGTTTGTACAGATGAACGTGGTACCTTCAGGCGTTTGGAAATTGCTCCGAAGGATGAACCAGACTTGTGGAGGTCTACAATTGTTTTTCTGAGGTCTTGGCTGATTTCTTTAGATTTTCCCATGATGTCAAGCAAAGAGGCAATGAGTTTGAAGGTAGGCCTTGAAATACATCTAGAGGTACACCTCCAATTGACTCAAATGATGTCAATTAGCCTATCAGAATCTTCTAAAGCCATGACATAATTTTCTGGAATTTTCCAAGCTGTTTAAAGGCACAGTCAACTTAGTGTATGTAAACTTCTGACCCACTGGAATTGTGAAAGTGAAATAATCTGTCTGTAAACAAATGTTGGAAAAATTACTTGTGTCATGCACAAAGTAGATGTCCTAACCGACTTGCCAAAACTATAGTTAGTTAACAAGAAATGTGTGGAGTGGTTGAAAAACAAGTTTTAATGACTCCAACCTAAGTGTATGTAAACTTCCGACTTCAACTGTACTTGTGTGTACTCCAGTGCTCATACACACACACATTGGGATAGACACACATACTCACAATCAATCATACTGTATGCACCATGCACAATCCCTCATTCATAGTAGAATCATAGTAGAATCACAGTAGAATCACAGTAGAATCATAGTAGAATCACAGTAGAATCACAATGGAATCACAGTAGAATCACAGTAGAATCACAGTAGAATCATAGTAGTAGAATTCAATCCCAGCCTCTCCAGCACCAGCCCCAGCCTCATCAGGTACAAGGTTGAGCTTGAGTCTCTACTAGGCCTGTCTTTGTGAGAATGTAAACCAGGGCTTTGGCGATACTATCTGCAGCTTTTCAGCATGCAGTCTGGTATGGCGGCCCTGGCGGGGAGGGGAGGGGAGGGGAGGGCAGGCAGGGGAGAAAGAAGCAAAGCGCTTGAGGAAAGAAGAGATACCCATACAGTAAGGTATCTGTGTACGCTGTGTATGAGTGGTAGGATTAAACCCGGCAGTTAAATGAAGCCTGTTTTAAGGAGAACTTCTCCTGGTCTGCGTCCGAAATGGCACCCTATTCCCTGTATAGTGCACTACTTTTGACCAGGGCCCAAAAGGGAACCCTTAGGGCTCTGGTCAAAAATAGTGTACTATATAGGGAATAGGGTGCCATTTGGGATGCAGCCCTGGCTTTAAACTGCTCTGTTGAAGGGAAAGCCTTCCTTTTCTCTTCCCCAACCTCACCTGGATGGCAGCCAAGGTGGGGAATAAGATGAAACGTGATCTGGTTGAAGATATGGCTTTTTTTACAGTGATGGACAGAGGCAATCTTCCTCCTCTTCCCGGAGCACTGAAAGATTTGGGCGGAAGCTGAGACTCTCAGCTCGAGAGCGAATCGAGGAGGAGAGAAGAGAGATAGAGCGAGAGAATCGAGATCCTCTCTCTCCTCCGTATCTCTATCTATCTCTCTCTCTCTCTCTCTCTCTCTTCCTCTACTCTCTCTATCTCTCTCTCTCTCCCCCCCTCTCTCTCCCTCTCTCTATCTCTCTCTCTCGTCTCACATATAGGAACTGGCTGCCAGATGGAGATGAGAAGTGAGGAGAGGTGATGAGTTGTAGTGTAGGGCCTAGAGTTTTCCCTGGCCAGGTCGTGTGGTCAGGGTACACTGCTGGGCCTAGCAATATGTAAGATACCAGCTTTTCAAATACAGAGGGACAGGAACAGAAACCAGTCTTAGACATTTTGGGGTTAGATTTTTCAGAAGTAAAACAGTAACATCTTTCCATTCATTTTCCAAATCATGGATGTCTAAAGGAAAAAGGGTTACAGTACTGTATATGAGACCTCCTCAGTGAAAGTTTGTGTCTCTTACGAAACTTCTTCGTGTCTCTCTCTCCCTCCCCTCCTTTTATTCCCCTTGTCTCTTCCTCGGTTTCACCCCCTCCTTTTCTCTCTCTTTTTTACTGTCTCCATCCCTCCCTCCCTTCTTGTCTCTCTCTCTCTCTGTTTTGACCCATCCTTGTCTGTTGCCTCCCTCCTTGTTTCTCTGTCCTCCTCATCTCTCACCCCCCCCTCCCCCCTCACCCATCGGTCTCTTCTATCTCTCTTCACCATCCACAGGGAGCCAAAGCTTGTTTCCTGCGAGACATCCCCTTCTCAGCCATCTACTTCCCCTGCTATGCTCACGTGAAGGCCTACATGAGTGATGAGGATGGGAGGGTCGGACCGGGCAAGCTGCTGTTTTCAGGGGCCATAGCAGGTAAGATACCATGCAACACTGTGACTCAGACCCAGGGTCTTACACTCTAAGAACCTTAAAGTATTCTTCTGTTGTCCCCATAGGAGAACGCTTTGAATAACTGTTTTTAGTTGCAGGTAGAACTCTTTAGAAACGGTTTTACCTGGAACCAAAAAGGAGTTTCCTATGGGGACAGACAACGAACACTTTTGGAACCCTTTTTTCTAAGAGCAATTTATTATCTCCCTAGTCTGTCTCTCTCTCTCTCTCTATCTCTCTCTCTCTCTCTCTCTCTCTCTCTCTCTATCTCTCTCTCAGCCTATATGATAGAGAAACTGTATACATTATACACACATCCAACCATATTGGTCATTGACGATCAGAAGATGACGATTCAGATGAAAAAACAATACTGTTAAAATGTTGTCACTAGCACAAGCTTAATAAGGAACCATTCTTGGGGAAGCAGAAAACCAAGCGTGAGCATTCCTGGTGGGTGGTGAGCCACCACATGGGCCCAGACCCAAGACCCCGGCTCCATCCCTCTAACCTCCTTCCCTCCCAGCCTCTGCCTCCACACCTCCCAGCCTCTATCCCGCTATCCTTCCCCCTCCCCATCCCTCCTTTCCTCCATTCCCCAGCCTCCACCCCTTTCTTTCCCCTATCCATCCCTCCCGCCTTCCATCCCTCCATTCCCCGTCCCTCTATCCCTCTATCCCTCCCTCCTTCCATCCCTCCATTCCCCGTCCCTCTATCCCTCCCTCCCTCCTTCCATCCCTCCATTCCCCGTCCCTCTATCCCTCCCAGCCTCCAGGCCTAAGGCCCCAGTAGTCACCGGTGACCACAGGCTCCATCGTGGTCGTCCCTAATTAGAGTGCTCAGCGATTGGCTGGAGGCTGGGGTTTGGAGCTAAGCACTGAGGGAGTAGACAGAGCCCAGAGAGAGACCAACCGCCTGCCTGCCAACAGGGTTTCAATAGGATGGGAGACTTTCCACTGCTAACATATAGGAACTGGCAACCTGAGCTCTGTCCCAAATGGCACCCTATTCCCTATATAGTGCACTACTTTTGACCATAGCCCATAGGGTCCATAGTCACTCTCTATGGGCCCATAAGGCTTTGGTCAAAAGTAGTGCACTATATAGGGAATAGGGTGCCAGTTGAGAGGCAGCCTGTGTGTTAGGAGTGTTAAGAGTGAGGAGCTGAGGGAGGGGAGGGTGAGGAGCTGAGGGAGGGGAGGGTGGGGAGCTGGGTCGACAATAAACAGATCTCACAATACTGGCAAGCCGGAGGAAAGACATCCAACAGTTTTGATCCACAGTCTTCCAGGTCTCTTTCTCCTCCTACGTGAAAATATGATCTGGAGCGAGTCTGTAGGTTTAATATTTTTACTTGAGTGGGTTTATCTTAAAGAAAACAGCGTATAAGAAGGCGAGTGCAGAAGCCAAGCCAGGGTGGTTTGGAACGTCACAAGAAAAGGGTTAATATTTATTTTGAATCCTGAGGGATATGTCGGTCAGTTCTGTAGTTCTGCTCTTCAGTGTGGAGTGAGCGGCGATCATGGCGCTACATGGAAAAGTCATATAAATCTAAAAAAGCATTCCTACTCCCAATCTCCCCCTTCGTCTTATTTTGATAATTCCCTCGACCGGGTCCGGGAGCTATGGTTTAGAAGCCTGAAATGCAGTTTATGATTTTGCATTTGCTCATAGCATTTATCACTCTTTTCTACATTTATCAGCGGTTAAGCCTTTTTGGCAATTAGCGCTTCACAGTCGGCGCAGGAAATTGAATTACACACTCAGTTTGGGCGGGATTATTTGCCAAGCAGACCCCCTGATCCCAGAACACACTGCAGAGCTGGTCATCTCCCAGTTCCTCCTCCTCCTTCCTCTCTCTCTCTCTCTTTTAGTTTCTCTTACGCTCTCTCTATGGCTGTAGAGGAATAGGCTTTCTGAGGTAGCTTTGAGAGGGAGATTTAAGACTGTGTTCCTGTGTTTTGAGTCCCCTTAGCACTTTGAATGTGCTGTGAAGCCAGTTGAGTTCTCCTCTCCTCTCCCTCCTCTCCTCTCCCTTTCTCTCCCCTCCCCTCCTCTCCTTCCCCTTCCTATCCTCTCCACTCCTCTCCCCTCCTCTCCTCTCCTCCCCCCCCTCTCCTCTCCTCTCCCCTCCTTTCCTCTCATCTCCTGTCCTCTCATATGAAGGATATCAGTGCAGGTGGTCTTTCCAGTTCTGTCACAGTTGCAGTGAGTTGATCAGTGGTTGAATTGAATGGCTCGTCTAGGTTGAAGACGTGTAGCTAGAAGTCTGTGTGACTAGCTGGTGAAGAGGCCGGTGATGGTAATGACTGTGCGTGGTGGTCGAAAGCAGCCATTGATGATTGAGGCCATTCATAGCTGAAGTGGCTGGAGAGGGCTGCCCGCATGGGGCCCCCAGTCACCAGTCACTGGCACGTGGGATGCCTTTGTGTGTCCATCTCATTACCTCGTATTGTCTGCCTCTTGAGGGAGAAAACCATGAACATTACATAGTAGCTCCAATGCAGTTTTCAAATTTATTTTTCTGATCGTACACAACTTTCTGTGGGAAGGATCAAGAGAGTAGTTCTACATATCACTCACTGGTCCTCATTCAGATGACCAAAGGCTCAAATTAAAGTAGGATTTGATGATGTTTTGAAATAAGTACAAACGTAGACAAGAGGAGTTAGATAAAAATCTCATCGAGAGTTCAACTTTGTTTATTCGTCATATACTCATGATATACATGGAGGACACAGTGCAATGGGTTCAAGTATAACCTTTGTATAACCCAACAGCAGAAACGTATACAGACAGATTGAGCAGAAATAGTGATGCAGGACAACAGAACCACTACATTCACAGACACTACCAACTCTGATGCAAGATAACAGAACCACTACATTCACAGACAGTACTAACACTGATGCAGGATAACAGAACCACTACATTCACAGACAGTACCAACACTGATGCAGGATAACAGAACCACTACATTCACAGACAGTACTAACACTGATGTAGGATAACAGAACCACTACATTCACAGACAGTACTAACACTGATGCCGGGTAACAGAACCACTACATTCACAAACAATATGGAGACTGATGCAGGATAACAGAACCACTACATTCACAGAGAGTACAAACACTGATGCAGGGTAACAGAACCACTACATTCACAGACAGTACTAATACTAATGCAGGATAATGGAACCACTACATTCACAGACAATATGGAGACTGATGCAGGATAACAGAACCACTACATTTACAGACAGTACCAACACTGATGCCAGATAACAGAACCACACATTCACAGACAGTACTAACACTGATGCAGGATAACAGAACCACTAAATTCACAGACAGTACAAACACTGATGCAGGATAACATACCACTACATTCACAGACAGTACCAACACTGATGCAGGATAACAGAACCACTACATTCACAGACAGTACCAACACTGATGCAGGATAACAGAACCACTACATTCACAGACAGTACCAACACTGATGCTGGATAACAGAACCACTACATTCACAGACAGTACTAACACTGATGTAGGATAACAGAACCACTACATTCACAGACAGTACTAACACTGATGCCGGGTAACAGAACCACTACATTCACAAACAATATGGAGACTGATGCAGGATAACAGAACCACTACATTCACAGAGAGTACAAACACTGATGCAGGGTAACAGAACCACTACATTCACAGACAGTACTAATACTAATGCAGGATAATGGAACCACTACATTCACAGACAATATGGAGACTGATGCAGGATAACAGAACCACTACATTTACAGACAGTACCAACACTGATGCCAGATAACAGAACGACACATTCACAGACAGTACCAACACTGATGCAGGATAACAGAACCACTACATTCACAGACAATATGGAGACTGATGCCGGATGACATAACCACTACATTCACAGACAATATGGAGACTGATGCCGGATGACATAACCACTACATTCACAGACAGTACCAACACTGATGCCGGATAACAGAACCACACATTCACAGACAGTACCAACATTGATGCAGGATAACAGAACTACTACATTCACAGACAGTACTAACACTGATGCAGAATAATGGAACCACTACATTCACAGACAGTACTAACACTGATGCCGGATGACATAACCACTACATTCACAGACAGTACTAACACTGATGCAGGATAACATAACCACTACATTCACAGACAGTACTAACAATGATGCAGGATAACAGAACCATTACGTTCACAGACTATACGGAGACTAATGCAGGATAATGGAACCACTACATTCACAGACAGTACCAACACTGATGCAGGATAACATAACCACTATATTCACAGACAGTACCAACACTGATTTAGGATAACAGAACGACTACATTCACAGACAGTACCAACAGTGATGCCGGATGACAGAACCACACATTCACAGACAGTACCAACACTGATGCCGGATAACATAACCACACATTCACAGACAGTACTAACACTGATGCCGGATAACATAACCACACATTCACAGACAGTACCAACAGTGATGCCGGATAACAGAACCACACATTCACAGACAGTACCAACACTGATGCCGGATAACATAACCACACATTCACAGACAGTACTAACACTGATGCCGGATAACATAACCACACATTCACAGACAGTACCAACACTGATGCCGGATAACATAAGCACTACGTTCACAGACTATACGGAGACTGATGCAGGATAACAGAACCACTACATTCACAGAGAGTACAAACACTGATGCAGGGTAACAGAACCACTACATTCACAGACAGTACTAATACTAATGCAGGATAATGGAACCACTACATTCACAGACAATATGGAGACTGATGCAGGATAACAGAACCACTACATTTACAGACAGTACCAACACTGATGCCAGATAACAGAACCACACATTCACAGACAGTACCAACACTGATGCAGGGTAACAGAACCACTACATTCACAGACAATATGGAGACTGATGCCGGATGACATAACCACTACATTCACAGACAGTACCAACACTGATGCCGGATAACAGAACCACACATTCACAGACAGTACCAACATTGATGCAGGATAACAGAACTACTACATTCACAGACAGTACTAACACTGATGCAGAATAATGGAACCACTACATTCACAGACAGTACTAACACTGATGCCGGATGACATAACCACTACATTCACAGACAGTACTAACACTGATGCAGGATAACATAACCACTACATTCACAGACAGTACTAACACTGATGCAGGATAACAGAACCACTACATTCACAAACAATATGGAGACTGATGCAGGATAATGGAACCACTACATTCACAGACAGTACCAACACTGATGCAGGATAACATAACCACTATATTCACAGACAGTACCAACACTGATTTAGGATAACAGAATGACTACATTCACAGACAGTACCAACACTGATGCAGGATAACTGAACCACTACATTCACAGACACTACCAACACTGATGCAGGATAACAGAACCATTACATTCACAGACAGTACTAACACTGATGTAGGATAACAGAACCACTACATTCACAGACAGTACTAACAAGTACTGAATCAGAATCCTGAGAGCCGCCAGGGTGCTGAGTGAGGTGTTCTCTCCTTAGGCATGCCCGCGGCCTCCCTGGTGACCCCAGCCGATGTTATCAAGACCAGGCTACAAGTGGCGGCCCGTGCCGGCCAGACCACGTACAGCGGCCTCGTTGACTGCTTCTGGAAGATTCTGAAGGAGGAGGGACCACGGGCCTTCTGGAAAGGAGCGGGAGGTATCACCACATTTTTATTAATGTCTGATGATGATGTGATATAAATGGCAGATTTAGTTTATTTCCAGTTGAAAGTGTGGAATTATTTGTATTATTATCTAAAAAAAAAGTTGACTGATGAGGAGTGGTGTAGATTACTTTCTAGGTCTTATTTGACAGTGTTGTTGTTTTAATAACCATATTCCACTACTATGTCACAGTGTACCATGGTCATCTCTAGCTAATTTGCAACTGTTTTTTTAACCCTTCATATGGCACATTATTTAGCCTGAAATCCAGACCTGTTTTGTGCTAACATTTCACTCCTTGTTTTGCATGACAAGGCGTGGCAAGGAGTGGAATGTTAGCACAAACAGACTGGTACCCAGGCTCCACATAGTTTACACAGTAGTGTAATAGTGAAATAGTGTTATTGAGAGTTGTGGTTTTTCACTGTAGCCCGAGTGTTCCGGTCCTCACCTCAGTTTGGGGTCACCCTGGTGACCTATGAACTCCTGCAGAGGTGGTTCTACGTGGACTTCGGCGGACAGTAAGTCAGAACTCCTCCCTCTCCTCATCTGAATGACATAAGCCTGGCCCGTATTCATAACGTGTCTCAGCATAGGAGGGCTGATCTAGGATCCGGACCCCCCCTTGTCCATATAATCTTATTCATTATTATTTAAAAGACCAAACTGATCCTATATCAGCACTCTTACTCTGAGACACTTCATGAATAACGGTCCTGATGTCTTGTCGGATATTAGACTAGATTGCTCAGTCTTGCTGAGGAAATTCAGACAATCACACGATAAGATCAACAACAAAAAAATCAAAAAACTTAAATGTCAGAATCGTCCAGTTGGGAATGATAGCTTCTACTGACTCTTGCTGTGTGACACAAAATGATGGTCATTTCTAGCAGCTCTTTACTGCCAACCTTTCAACACAGGGAGAGAGATGTGTAGTTACACAAAGAATACATTACCATTTAAAACCATGCAGAGGGTTAAATGAAAAGCTTGGCTACCCATTGTGTGGGTGCACTTCTTTGTCTCCAGAGGAACAAGAAGTGCCATGAGACCAAAATAATTTCAGAGTAGATCAGCTGACTAGCTTCACCCTTTACTTGGTTGTATCCCAAATGGCACCTTATTCCTATAGGGCTCTGGTCAAAAGTAGTGCACTATATAAAGAATAGGTCGCCATTTGGGACGCAGACCATTACTTGGTGGGATGGACGTGACATTTCCTAAACTAATGTAGGGCAGTCCTAAACTACAGAGCTCCAGAGCTGTGATGTAGGGCAGTCCTAAACTACAGAGCTCCAGAGCTGTGATGTAGGGCAGTCCTAAACTACAGAGCTCCAGAGCTGTGATGTAGGGCAGTCCTAAACTACAGAGCTCCAGAGCTGTGATGTAAGGGCAGTCCTAAACTACAGAGCTCCAGAGCTGTGATGTAGGGCAGTCCTAAACTACAGAGCTCCAGAGCTGTGATGTAAGGGCAGTCCTAAACTACAGAGCTCCAGAGCTGTGATGGAGGGCAGTCCTAAACTACAGAGCTCCAGAGCTGTGATGTAGGGCAGTCCTAAACTACAGAGCTCCAGAGCTGTGATGTAGGGCAGTCCTAAACTACAGAGCTCCAGAGCTGTGATGTAAGGGCAGTCCTAAACTACAGAGCTCCAGAGCTGTGATGTAAGGGCAGTCCTAAACTACAGAGCTCCAGAGCTGTGATGTAAGGGCAGTCCTAAACTACAGAGCTCCAGAGCTGTGATGTAGGGCAGTCCTAAACTACAGAGCTCCAGAGCTGTGATGTAAGGGCAGTCCTAAACTCCAGAGCTCCAGAGCTGTGATGTAGGGCAGTCCTAAACTACAGAGCTCCAGAGCTGTGATGTAGGGCAGTCCTAAACTACAGAGCTCCAGAGCTGTGATGGAGGGCAGTCCTAAACTCCAGAGCTCCAGAGCTGTGATGGAGGGCAGTCCTAAACTCCAGAGCTCCAGAGCTGTGATGTAGGGCAGTCCTAAACTACAGAGCTCCAGAGCTGTGATGTAGGGCAGTCCTAAACTACAGAGCTCCAGAGCTGTGATGTAAGGGCAGTCCTAAACTCCAGAGCTCCAGAGCTGTGATGTAAGGGCAGTCCTAAACTCCAGAGCTCCAGAGCTGTGATGGAGGGCAGAGAGAATCACTTTGACTTGTGCTCTTTCTCTTTCCAGCTTTTCGGGGTAGAAATGAGCTCATGTTCCTTGGCAGAGCAAACTGGTCACTCTTTAGAATGCACTTCTCTAATGTTCCATTGACCAATAAGAGACAGAGACAGGAGGGTAAGGGGGTGAGTTTTAGGATAAGCGTCACCAAAAACATTACATTCACTATTATACTGTACATGTAATTGTATTGACAGAATTTAGTCAATACTTTGGGGTTCTTTCTGTCCTAAATATTCTGAAATAACATGCATACTGTATGCATAATGTGGTCTTCACAGACTTTGCTCCATTCTCAAAAATGTTCAGAAAAACATTCAGTTAATACTCTACTGCTCGATGGTGTGGTGTGGGTTTGAAATGTGTTCCTTGTTGTCCGTATTGGAAAGATATCACAGAAAGGAGTATATGAAACCATTGTGGGATATTAATTTATTTCTGGTTCCAGTGCTCTGGGGAAAAATAGCACTCTAAAAAATAAAAAATATATAAATAAATAGCTCTCTCGCCCAGTCTTAATATTCGATTAAGATGTTTATTTTTTGTGGTGGACAATGTTTAATATAAAAACTCTTAACTCTTCCCTCTCTCTCTCGCGGTCTCTTTTCCCTCCACTTTTGGTTTCTCTCTTTTCTGTCTCTCTCTTTCTCTCCTCCCTTGTTTCTCCTTCCCTCTCTCTTTCCCCCTCCCTCCACCTCCCGCTCTCCCCCTCTCTCTCCTCCATCTCTCTATCCTCCTTTCTCCTCACGCACCCCCCCTCCCTCCTCCTCCCTCTCTCTCCCCCCTCCCTCTCTCTCTCTCTCCCCCCTCCCTCCTCCCTCTCCCCTCTCCCCTCTCCTTCTCTCTCCACACCACAGAAAACCGTCTGGCTCGGAGCCGACTCCCAAGTCTCGGATCAGCCTGCCGGCGCCCAGCCCCGACCACATCGGAGGCTTCAGGTTGGCCGTGGCCACGTTCGCTGGCATCGAAAGCAAATTTGGACTCCACCTCCCAAGATACAACGTGCACGTAACCCCCCCTGTCCAAGGAGGACCCCCCTTGAATTGAACCTCCTCTGCCCACCCGTAGGGGGCAGAATAGAGCACACGCGCAATCGTTACACCCCCTCCCTCCCACCCCCGCCCCGTCGAGCACTTGGAATATTCCACCCGAAAGAGAGGCACATTCTGACTAGTGTGATGTGCCTCGCTAGGCTTTAAAGAAAAATAGGTATCTATGTTTTAGTTGATATGAGACATTAATAAAAAAAACTATTAAGAACTTCTTGAAACAACCTTTATATGTCATGGTCTAAAAGCACATCAGCTTGGTTTAGCTTCTGTTTTAGTCTCATCTAGCTGTAAAGATGACTTTTTGAGTCAGTCTTATTGTGAAGATCAAGGGCTCTATTCAATCTCTATCGCTGAAGCTAGAAATTTAAAAATAATTTCCTATTGAGCCGACATCTGCAGCATTTACCGTGAATGCAGTCTCCGCTGACGTGGGAGCATTGCCATTAAATTTCAATCACGCTGTAACACTGAATTTGTGATAGCTACAGTACTGACATTGTGTGTCTAGAGTAGTGCCATTCTAGTTGGTATTTTAACACACTAGCAGAGGGGCTGGCCATGACTTGAATTAGACCTGGACTGCTTCCTGTCATTACATCATCACTAAAGCTGGGACTCATTCAAATATGCATTGTCAACAAGCGCATTGCACTTGATTTTTTAAGGTAATTTATGCTTGAGCCAACATGCGTAGCGTTTACCATGAATGTGAATGTCCGGTTGACAGTGCAATGTGCTTGTCGACAACAAGCTTTGATTGAATTCCGGCCTAACCATATAATGGTGAATTTACTGTCTTCCACCTGTTAGTTTGTCTGATAGAACCTCAACAGAATAAGCCCTATCTGTCAAATGGACATGTTTTTATTTCCATGTTAAATGTGACGTTATCGATGGGGAAAGTAACACAAGCACGCACATCCGAACAATGGTTCTTCTGTACATATGAGAACGAACAGAGAGACATTTTCATATTGATACGGTTCGCTGAGTTGCTTTTTGGATACTGTGAAGAAAAAACACGAATAATCTTGATCATGAAAAAGATCGACCAAACTAAACACTTGAACGTAATTATACTGTTCAGTGTAACCACCATTTTCACACTGTATTACTACGGTACTGTAGTGACTGTCTGTTATCCTAAGTTGAGTTGTCTGTCAGCTCAAACTGTGCTGTGTGTTGAATTAATGTCTTATTTAAAGAGTCAGGGCACAGCAGAGCAGAGGGAGAGAGCAGAAAGATAATGTCACTGACTAGCTATACTACACTACAATACACTATACTATACTACATTACACGATACTATACTACACTACATTACACTATACTATACTAGCTGCTCGTTGTCACGGAAGACGCCCACATTTAAACTTGTACAGGAGAGGAGTATTATATGGCGTGTAATAATTGTGCCTTACTGTATGTATGGCAGCAATATTTATATACACTGAGTGTACAAAACATTAGGAACACCTTCCTAATATTGAGTTGCACCCCCTTTTGCCCTCAGAAAAGCCTCAATTCGTCGGGGCGTGGACTACAAGGTGTCGAAAGCATTCCACAGGGATGCTGGCCCATGTTGACTCCATTGCTTCCCACAGTTGTGTCAAGTTGGCTGGATGTCCTTTGGTTGGTGGACCATTCTTGATGCACACGGGAAACTGTTGAGTGTGAAAACCCAGCAGCGTTGCAGTTCTTGACACACACAAACCGGTGCGCCTGGCGCCTACTACCATACCCCGTTCAAAGGCACTTAAATCTTTTGTCTTGCCCATTCACCCACTGAATAGCACACATACACAATCCATGTCTCTATTGTCTCAAGGCTTAAAAATTATCCTCCCCTTCATCTACACTGGTTGAAGTGGATTTAACAAGTGACATCAATAAGGGATCTAAGGGTAGCTTTCACTTTGATTCACCTGGTCAGTCTGTCAATGTTTTGTACACTCAGTGTATATGTACTAATACAATTAAAAAGAAACGTCTAACGTTAGTAAACAAAGCGTGTGTGCGTGTGTTCTTTTACAAGGTTGTGGTGCGACAATTCAGAGAAAAGCTTGACGCCTGGTAAGAGGTGAGAATCATAACAGACAAACGTCCAACTTGTGACACTATAATTACAGTAGTTTAACAACAAGTATACAAGCTAACAGTTCTTCAGCCATGATTTATTGGCAGATATATCATGATAAACAGCGGGCACACACTCTAGATGACAATATATGTCTATTCATTACAGTACACGTAGCACTTCCACTAAACAAAGTGCTAAACTAGAATTTGTTGCTTACATTTTACATTTTAGTCATTTAGCAGACGCTCTTATCCAGAGCGACTTACAGTTAGTGAGTGCATACATTTTCATACTGGCCCCCCGTGGAAAACGAACCCACAACCCTGGCGTTGCAAGCGCCATGCTCTATCAACTGAGCTACACGGGGCCCTTGAATAGTGCAATAACCCTCACCTACGTATATATAACATTGACATAAAGCAGTTACAGACATCCACAACATATTAGAACATATCTATGAAGCTGTAAGAACCTATAAATGTGTTGCATGCATGTAGGGGGTTGGATACTGAGAAAAGCACAACAACAGCACTATGAACATGAGACTTCTGTAACATGACAACATAGAGTTCTATAGGCCCTGTCGAATTGTTCTCACTGCTAGTTTCACAGCGCTTCACAGCTGTAGTGAGACCTATGATTGGATATGGGATTCCCTTAGGTTCTAAGCACTGTATGATAACTGACCACATACAGTAAGTTCATCAATAAATGATGAATATAGTAAATTACAAAAAGGCCCGAGGTGCTTATACGACTAACATATATTAACATAAATTCCAAAAACATAAATTCCCCAAAATGTGATGTAAATACAGTAGAGTGAAAGCACGTTGTAGCCTGGACACTGCTGGAATAGTGGTCGCGTTCCCCTGCTCAGACGGTGTTTGCATCAACCAATGGTTGCTTGTCACGTCATCGACTGTGCAGTCGGGCACCAGATTACTATAACATGATGTGGTTAGCTGATACGTAAAATACCTTTTCAAGTGTTGTAAGATCTGGCATGCGTCAGCAACGGCTGAGCAGGAGAACACGACCCGTAGCTGTCACAGAGAGACTGAGGGGGGGCGGGGTCTAGAAACACATATTGCTGCTTTGACAGGTGCGTGAAATCATGTTATAAAGGTGTGAGAATAAAGCCTTCTGATGGGCTGGATCTCCTAGTGAGCCGCCCAGTGTGCCTGGCGATGCTCGGTGATCCTATTGGATCCTGCAGTGATTCGTTCAATCCTATGGCGTCAGTTCCACAGGCTCTTCCTCCTCGCCGTCGGCCCGGTTGGCCTTGATCTCCATCAGGGTGCGGGCGAAGCGTGCCCAGTCCTCACTGTGGGGCACTGCCAGCTGGGAGGAACCACAGAGAGAAAAACTAAATGTATCCACCTTCACACTGGTAGATATCCCCAATCATCTTTTCTATACAATAGATTATGTTTTGACCAATAACTGAGTCTTTGTCAGGATCAGATTGGCTGGTTTATCAGCCTCATGAGCAAATACAGTCCAGTATATGTATGTTTCTGTTCATGGTCTAAATCTATGGTCTCCTCATCTGCTGTCCAATACATTTACATTTCACAGTACGAAAAGTCCCTCAAGAATCGAGAAATTCAATTTTAGCTTTTACTTGAAGTTTCAAGTTAATCTAGTCAATGTCTAAAAAAATATGTATTCACTAACTGTAAGTCGCTCTGGATAAGAGCGTCTGCTAAATGACTAAAATGTAAAAATGTAATGTAAATGGTCAGTGAAATGTACACGCGTTAACCACATAACTTTGTTTCATTTGTTACAAGTTTTTTATGACTGTGACCTCCAGTAACCTGTCATGGCGAAGCTCTGCTGTGAAAGTCAAATGAAAAGGTCACTTGGTTGGTTGGTTGCTGGAGCTGCCACCCAGGCTGTCACCACGGTTACCGCTCTGCAGGCTATAATTAACCAGCAATAAGGAGGTGGGAGGGGACAGCGGCCATTTTAAACCCTCAGAGCTTTTAAAGCACACCAGGGGTCCTCCTCAGGGAAATCATCATCAATACACTTAGTCTGCATCCTAAATGGCACCCAATTCCCTATTTAGTGCACTACTTTTAACATGAGCCCATAGTAGTGCACTAAACAGGGAATAGGGTGCCATTTAGGATGAAGCCTGACATTACCTGCCCTGGCACTGAAGAGCATTTAACCAGAGAGGGACAATGTGTAATGTCATTATTGTACAACATAGATCTATGATTGGATATTGCACTGCTTTATATAGCCTTAAGGAACAAAAAAACACATATGTGGATGAAATAAGAAAACATTTATCATGTTTGTAAATGATATCATAAATAGGACTGGTGGAGTTGTGACACATGCAGCTAACAAACATTTATGGAAATGTCTGCTCTATCCAAAATTACAACCAACTAATTGCAGCATTTCCGCATAAATGGAAGAGGCAAGTGGAAGGGGGAGCAGGTAAGGAACTTGTCTGTCAGCCCTGCATGAATTACCAAAACCGGTTAAATAAAATTGTGATAAATAAAAAAGTATACCAGTTTAATTTAAGGACCAAAAAATAGACAGTTTGGAAGAGATTTTCGATGTACCGATTCCATGGCACATGGTTTATGAACTGATACAAAAACAACGCCGGATTCAAAACTTAAGAGTTTTTCAATTTAAATGATTATACGAAATTCTTGCAACCAATAGAATGTTATATATATATATATATATTGGGGATACAACCATCCCAGCTCTGCAGATCATTAGATAACTTGTTTTGGTACTGCCCATATGTAGCTTGTTTTTGGTCGCAGGTTCAGGAATGGCTGAAGAATTGCAACATTTACCTGGAGCTGCAAATAGCACTGCTGGGTGATTTGGAAATCAATCAATAATCTAATAATACTCTTAGCAAAAAAAGTTATCTTTAATTTACAATCTGTAGAAACTATGACAATAGAAAGGTTCAGAACTTTTGTGAAACATCACAGCACAGTTGAAAAATATATGGCAGCTAGAAATCAAAACTGGATGGTGTTCAGAGATAGATGGGAGGGGTTGAAGGGAGCTGAAGTGAGGGACAAAAAAAAACACGAGATAACTAATGTAAAATATACTGCGTCCGTAAAATGTATATAGTATATTATAGTGCATTCGGAAAGTATTCAGACCCCTTGACTTTTTCCAAATGTTGTTAAGTTATTCTAAAATGGATTAAATTGTTTCCCCCGCCCCTCGTCAATCTACACACAATACCCCATAATGAAAAAGCAAAAACAGGATTTTACATTTTTCTGCAAATGTATTACAAATAAAAACGGAAATATCACATTTACATAAGTATTCAGACTCTTTACTCAGTACTTTGTTGAAGCACCTTTGGCAGCGATTACAGCCTCAAGTCTTCTTGGGTATGACGCTACAAGCTTGGCACACCTGTATTTGGGGAGTTTCTCCCATTCTTCTCTGCAGATTCTCTCAAGCTCTGTCAGGTTGGATGGTGAGCGTCGCTGCACAGCTATTTTCAGAGATGTTCGATCGGGATCAAGTCCAGGCTCTGGCTGGGCCACTCAAGGACCAAGGACCAAGGCCCTTCTCCCCCGATTGCTCAGTTTGGCCGCACGGCCAGCTCTAGGAAGAGTCTTGGTGGTTCCAAACCTCTTCCATTTAAGAATGATGGAGGCCACTGTGTTCTTGGGGACCTTCAATGCTGCAGAAATGTTTTGGTACCCTTCCCCAGATCTGTAACTCGACACAATCCTGTCTCGAAGCTCTACGGACAATTCCTTCAACCTCATGGCTTGGTTTTTGCCCTGACATGCACTGTCAACTGTGGGACCTTATATAGACAGGTGTGTGCTTTTCCAAATCATGTCCAATCAAGTTGGAGAAACATCTCAAGGATGATCAATGGAAACAGGATGCACCTGAGCTCAATTTCGAGTCTCATAGCAAAGGGTCAGAATACTTATGTAAATAAGGTATTTCTGCTACGCAAAAATGTCTAGTTTGATGAGGAATTATTATTTTTTAATCCATTTTAGAATAAGGCTGTAATGTAACAAAATGTGGAAAAAGTCAAGGGGTCTAAATACTTTCCAAATGCACTGTATAAGCTGGAAGTAGAATCCTAAGTATTGTTGTCCATTAGTTTACTCCAATTATGGAGAGGGATGGTAGGGTTAAAGGAAAATAATAAAGAAGGAAAATATATACGGTACCAGTCAAAAGTTTGGACACACCTACTCCTTCAAGGGTTTTTCTTTATTTTGACTATTTTCTACATTGTAGAATAATAGTGAAGACATCAAAACTATGAAATAACACATATGGAATCATGTAGTAACCAAAAAAGTGTTAAACAAATCAAAATATATTTTATATTTGAGATTCTTCCAAAAATAGCCACCCTTTTCCTTGATGACAGCTTTGCACACTCTTGGCATTCTCTCAACCAGCTTCACCTGGAATGCTTTTCCAACAGTCTTGAAGGAGTTCCCACATATGCTGAATACTTGTTGGCTGCTTTTCCATCACTCTGCGGTCCGACTCATCCCAAACCATCTCAATTGGGTTGAGGTCGGGGGATTGTGGAGGCCAGGTCATCTGATGCAGCACTCCATCACTCTCCTTCTTGGTAAAATAGCCCTTACACAGCCTGGAGGTGTGTTGGGTCATTGTCCTGTTGAAAAACTAATGATAGTCCCACTAAGCCCATATCAGATGGGATGGCGTATCACTGCAGAATGCTGTGGTACCCATGCTGGTTAAGTGCGCCTTGAATTCGAAATAAATCACAGACAGTGGCACCAGCAAAGCACCCCAACACCATAACACCTCCTCCTCCATGCTTTATGGTGGGAACTACACATGCGGAGATCATCCATTCACCCACACCGCGTATCACAAAAAACAAAAATCTCCAATTTGGACTCCAGACCAAAGGACAGATTTCCACCGGTCTAATGTCCATTGCTTGTGTTTTTTGGCCCAAGCAAGTCTCTTCTTCTTATTGGTGTCCTTTAGTAGTGGTTTCTTTGCAGCGATTCGAACATGGAGGCCTGATTCACACAGTCTCCTCTGAAGAGTTGATGTTGAGATGTGTCTGTTACTTCAACTCTGTGAAGCATTTATTTGGGCTGCAATTTCTGAGGTGCAGTTAACTCTAATGAATTTATCCTCTGCAGCAGAGGTAACTCTGGGTGTTCCTTTCCTGTGGCGGTCCTCATGAGAGCCAGTTTCATCATAGTGCTTGATGGTTTTGTGACTGCACTTGAAGAAACTTTCAAAGTTCTTGAAATGTTCCGTATCCCCCCTACCTTGTCACAACACACCTGATTGGCTCAAACGCATTAAGAAGGAAAGAAATTCCACAAATTAACTTTTAAGAAGGCACACCTGTTAATTGAAATGCATGAGGTGACTACCTCATGAATCTGATTGAGAGAATGCCAAGAGTGTGCAAAGCTGTCATCAAGGCATAGGGTGGCTATTTGAAGAATCTCAAAATATTTACCCAAAAATATTGGAAATTATGCAGATAATTACATTGATAGGATCCACAATCTAGCTGCAATATTAAAGCTGATTGTTTGATTGTTTCTGTATTCAATGGCGCTAGCTACGTCGTTTGGCAACACGATGACAAGTCGAGTTGGCTAAAGCAGAAACCGGCCGGCACCCAGGGTAAAGCTTTTATGGGAATTACAATAAATTATAGGTTACAGGGAAAGCCAATTAAAGTATTTACAGAGCACTTAACAAGGTCAAGCAACATGAACTATAAAACCTCTGAGAACACAAAACAAAGCCAGCAACAAGAAACTATCCACATATCCATTCCATATTACTGTTCCATCTCACACACCAGAGACATTTATTTGTATTCTCTGAAAATATAATTCAGGATAATAAACTACTTCATTATACACTATATAGATCTGCCCCGGTCAACTATAAGTGCTGTTATTGTGAAGTGGAAACGTCTAGGAGCAACAACGGCTCAGCTGCAAAGTGGTAGGCCACACAAGCTCACAGAATGGGACTGCCGAGTGCTGAAGCGCGTAGCGCATAAAAATAGTCTGTCCTCGGTTGCAACACTCACTACCGAGTTCCAAACTGCCTCTGGAAGCAACGTCAGCACAAGAACTGTTAGTCGGGAGCTTCACGAAATGGGTTTCCATGCCTAAGATCACCATGCGCAATGCCAAGAGTCAGCTGGAGTGGTGTAAAGCTTGCTGCCATTGGACGCTGGAGCAGTGGAAACGCGTTCTCTGGAGTGATGAATCACGCTTCACCATCTGGCAGACCAACGGATTAATCTGGGTTTGGCGGATGCCAGGAGAACGCTACCTGCCTCAATGCATAGTGCCAACTGTGGAGAAGGAATAATGGTCTGGGGCTGTTTTTCATGGTTCGGGCTAGGCCCTTTAGTTCCAGTGACGGGAAATCTTAACGCTACAGCATACAGTGACATTCTAGACGATTCTGTGCTTCCAACTTTGTGGCAACAGTTTGGGGAAGGCCCTTTCTTGCTCCAGCATGACAATGGCCCCGTGCACAAAGCAAGGTCCATACAGAAATGGTTTGTCAAGATCGGTGTGGAAGTACTTGACTGGCCTGCACAGAGCCCTGACCTCAACCCCATCGAACACCTTTGGGATTAATTGGAACGTCGACAGCGAGCCAGGCCTAATCGCCCAACATCAGTGCCTGACCTCACTAATGCTCTTGTGGCTGAATGGAAGCAAGTCCCCGCAGCAATGTTCCAACATCTAGTGGAAAGCCTTCCCAGAAGAGTGGAGGCTGTTATAGCAGCAAAGGGGGGACGAACTCCATATTAATGCCCATGATTTTGGAATGAGATGTTCGACGAGCAAGTGTCCACATACTTTTGGTCATGTAGTGTATTTACATTTTACATTTTAGACATTTATCAGACACTCTTATCCAGAGCGACTTACAGTTAGTGAGTGAGTGCATACATTTTTCATATTTTTGGTATTTTTTTAAAATGTCAGAATATCTATTTAACCTTTTTTAGCTAGGTAATTGAGAACAAATTATATTTTATAATAACAACCTGGTGTAATATCATTATAATATAATGATATAATTGATATTGAAAATAATAACATTGAGGCATAAACAGCCTACTATGATTTCGTCCCAAATGTGGTACCCTATTCCCTACATTCCTACGGTCCATGATCAAAAGTAGTGCACTACATAGGGAATAGGGTTCCATTTGAGATGCAGAATATGACTGTACAGATCAGCAGGACAATTGCCTCTCCACCATTCCATCATGTTGCATTGTTGCTAGACCAATCCATTCTAGTTTTAGCTCTTTCTTTACGGTGTTCGCTAGCTTCAGTCCTTTCAGGACATGAAAACCCTTCAAATTACACTTGAGCCTTTATTTATGAGCCGCCATTACCATCAACCAACAGAGAGGGAGAAAGAGAGGGGGAGTGAGAGAGAGAGAGAGCGAGAGAGAGAGAGAGAGAGAGAGAGAGAGAGAGAGAGAGAGAGAGGAAGCGAGAGGGAGGGAGGGAGGGAGAGAGAGAGAGAGAGCGAGGGATCGAGAGAGGGGGAGAGAGAGAGGGAGAGAGAGGGTCTGCGTCCCAAATTAGAAGGCACCCCACACAGTAGACACACACAAGGCACAAACCAGAGCCCAAAAAGAACCCTACAAACATGGGATTCAGGGAGGTTGGCCACTTTGTGGTGGAGGTAAAAGTCATGTGGAGAAAGAAGGGATAGAGGAGAAATACCAACACAAACATCACATGTGAAATTTGTGGTTTCAAATGTTAAAAACTTTCACGTGAAAATCATTCACATGTAAAAATCACATTTGCCACTTCACATGTACAAATCTAACTTTCACATGTGGAATTGCAAGTTCACGTGAAAATCAATCATATGTGAAAATCAATCACATGTGAAAATCAAATTTGCACTTTCTCATGTAAGAAAACGCCACGTGAAAATCTCACTTTCACATGTGGAATTGCAAGTTCACATGTGAAAAACAATCACGTGAAAATCTAATTTGCAGTTTCACATGTTAGAAAACTCCAACTGTGAAAATCTCACTTTCACATGTGGAATTGCAGAATCACATGTGGGATTGAAATAATGTTATTCTCCTCACATGTGAACAGATTGTATTAACATGTTGCAGTAGCAATGTTTCCCCCGTTGGAATTACGTGACCACATCTAAAAATAGTTTTAGATTTTGCGAGTAATTCGCGGAACAGTGGACAGAATTTTTTTTGGGGGCAGGTTAATGAATCACGTTCAAATGGCGACATAGTTCTGCTGTATGAAGGTCACTGCCTGTTAAAGGGGCAATCCTTAGTTACTACATCCATTTTTGGACTTGTAAAGTATAGATATGTACCCATTGATTCTTGAAGAATATAACACATAGATGCCTCATGAGCTTAGTTCAACTGTCCTTCCCCATCAGAACCCAAAATATGAGCTGGTTTTACTCCAATGTTTGTAAACAAAGTAAATGTCAACAACCACTGTATAGCCTAAACAAATGGTTAAAACTATAATTTTGATATCATGGATGGTTAGTCCTTGCATCCATAGCTCTGTCTATGAATTTGAGAATGGTTTTGCATTTCTCCAGCCCCATCCCTTAGCTTTTTACTGAAACTGTGGCGGGCAGTACACTTTGTTAATTTTTCAATTACGGATTGCTGCTTTAAACACCTTTAATAGAGTAATAGTGTTATTATATGGTGCAATCCTCCAGTGATTTACTTTTGTGCCATTAATATCAAGCAAAACTTCTGAAGTCGAGAACAAAATTAGTAGTATTGCAAACAAAAATAATGATATTGAAAGCAAAATATGAACCCAAAATATTGCAAGGAAATAATTTCAAAATGCGAGAACAAATGTTTTGTAAATGGATGCAAAAAAATAGTTTTCAGTGATTACTTTTTTATGATACCACGATTAAATAAAACACCTCCCTCGTTCCTGCAATTTTCCCTATCTTTTGTTATGTTACCCTGGCCTATGCTTTGGCTGCCAGTTGCACGTTTTGGCACATTCATTCCAGCAACATACTGTAGCACCCTGCATCCCACTGGGTCAGTAGTGTTCGGTCCCTGGATGGGAGACCAGATGAAGCTGGAAGTGGTGAAGAATAAACAATTCACGATGGGAAAACGTGAAAAATTAACATGAAACTTCACACGTGTCCGAAAACCACGTGTCTGACATGAAAATGTCAAAAAATAAACACATTCATGTGATTTGTTCATGTGTTCTGTGTTTCTGAGTTTCTTATGTAGTACCGGTATTAACATTCCTAAGAAAACATGTGTTCTGCTAACTCACTCTGATGTAAACAATGCTGATCAAGAAAGGCAGAGCAGGTGAAGTTCACTTATGGCACCCTGTTCCCTACACAATGCACCCTATGGACCCTGGTCAAAAGTAGTGCACTATATATAGAATAGGATGCCATTTGATACGCAGTCATAGTGTTCATATCATACCTCTCCTGCGTCGTAGATCCACAAACGGCCCTCTGAGTCACCCACGGCAACCTCCTTGCCCCCCGACCCCCAGCGCACCCTGTTTAGGGCAGAGGCTCCCTCGATGGTCACACTAGCTGTGGGGACCTGGGGCACACAGGGTTACACCAGCCAATCAACCCATCCATCCAATTCGATCCACATAGTACATTACAGTTATACAAAACATACTTATTCATAAAGGTACAGCCTGAACTGCCAGAGAGCAAGCAATGGTGACAGTGGCAAGGAAAAACTCAGTACTACTATTTCAGGTTTCAATCATAGCTGTAACAGTACAATGACATTAGCACCAGCAGATTGGTACATGTTTAGTACATTCTCAGACAGACTGGGGGCTTCATCCAGTAGACCTACGTCTACTTCAGCTCCATGTGAAATAACAATATGAAACCTTTAATGAGCCACATAAATCTCCATAAAACCCTCCGCTGCACCTATTAAAACAATACCCACCACAGCCTGTGGGCCATAGGCTGCTCAGGACTAATGAACACAGATTATTCAGGATGAGTCCCAAATGGCACCCTATTCCCTACATAGGGCACTACTTTTGACCATGGCCCATAGTAGTGCACTATGTGTAGGGCATAGGGTTCCATTAGGGACACATACCCAGAGTAATAGCCTGATCCCAGATCAGTATGTGCATTAGCTATTGCAGTCCAGCCAGAGGGGTTGGCTAAAGCAGAATCAGATCTGGGACCAGTCTATATATGATTATGTCTGCTATCAGGGCCTGCTGAAGCACTATTGCACATGACAGACAGGATTAGTTTATGATACATGTCGTCGTTGGAGACAGAAGCATCGGCATCACGTCGGCTAATAAGACAGCTTCCCCGCTCCAGAGCAGGGATAACCACAGACTGGCTGCTATTAGACTGACTGGAAGCTTCCACCAGACTAGCTGCTATTAGACTGACTGGAAGCTTCCACCAGACTAGCTGCTATTAGACTGACTGGAAGCTTCCACCAGACTAGCTGCTTAAATTGGCTGTGTGTTTGTGAAGGGGAAATGAGAACCAGGCCCTCCACCGCTAGGCTAATGCCGTTATGATGACTGTGTGTTTTTAATATGTCCATAACAATGGAGGACTGTTGCTATTAGCAACATTGTGAACTTCTATCTCAGATTGTCTCTGTGTGTGTGTGTGTGTGTGTGTGTGTGTGTGTGTGTGAGAGAGAGAAAGAGAGGGAGTGTGTGTCTCCAAATGTTTCTCATAAAGCACTTTGTTGGAGAAGTCAATCCATCCTTAATGAAGTCTTCCTCCAGACTACACTGAAGAGCCTGCTGTTGCTGAAGGGCTGGCACCTTGGATAGACTGAAGGAAGGAACATCTTTATCTCAATCTCTCTCCTCCCCAGTCGCCTGTCCCTGTAAGAGACTGGGTTAAAGGGTCTCTGTTCATCAGACCTGGGTTCAAATCGTTTTGGAAATCTTTAGCTAGCTGTGCTTGATCGAAGCAATGGAACCAATGGTATAGTCCCAAAAGTGCAAACCCAGAGGCCCAAATGTCACAGCTCCTATGACAGAGCTGGGTCAGGGGTAAGGGTTAAAAATGGGAGCGAGGAATGGTGGAGAGAGGGAGAGAGAGACCAGATTTATAATTAGAGAGGAGGGTCTGTGGACACGGTATCCGTGGAAACGGCAAAAGAGGGAGCGGTTGCCCCTTTCATCTCTACTTTGACCTGAGCAATGAAAGGGAGAACTCCGTGCCCCCCGCGCCCCTCCTCGCCCCTCGGTAACTCAACGTAGACAGAGGGCCGATGCCTCTGGGGGAGAGGGGCGGTGTTTTGGTTACTCCACCTTAGGATAGTTTAGTTTGTTGTGACAGGACAGTACTGGAGGGAACCCTCCTACCTGGGAGAGACTAAGGCCGGGATTCAATTGCTGACCAGCATCCCATTGACATACCGACTAGCCAAACTCTAAAACGTAACCTTACCTTAACCCTAACCTTAACCCTCTAAACCTAATCTAATTTTAACCTATTTGGAAATTTGGTTTTCTGATCAGGGACATCCCCTTAGTTTTTCCCCTTCTACCTATGGGTGGGGTAGCCTAGATGTCATACTGTGGGTGTATTCAACAATGCTACATAGTGATTGTACTCTTGCCAAACAAGGCGAGAAAAAAACCAAGGACTGGGCTATCTAGAAAAGCAGCATACTGGCACCAAGAGTTTAGGGGTGGAGTAGCTTTAAGGGATGGTTGTGGAAATCACATTGTTTAGTGGGGCGGGGAAGAGAAAGGAGCGTTAATCGATGGTTATGGGAGTACTGGTGTGACATGGTTGAGTGGGGCGGGGAGGAGAAGGGAGCGTTATGGGATGGTTGTGGGAGCGTTGATGGGGAGTTTGGTGGGAGGGATTGGTTGTGGGAGCCAATGTTTGAAGGGTTTGGAGATGGGAGCGTTATGGGATGGTTGTGGGAGCGTTGATGGGGAGTTTGGTGGGAGGGATTTGTTGTGGGAGCCAATGTTTGAAGGGTTTGGAGATGGGAGCGTTATGGGATGGTTGTGGGAGCGTTGATGGGGAGTTTGGTGGGAGGGATTGGTTGTGGGAGCCAATGTTTGAAGGGTTTGGAGATGGGAGCGTTATGGGATGGTTGTGGGAGCGTTGATGGGGAGTTTGGTGGGAGGGATTGGTTGTGGGAGCCAATGTTTGAAGGGTTTGGAGATGGGAGCGTTATGGGATGGTTGTGGGAGCGTTGATGGGGCGTTCGGTGGGAGCGGGGTGAGGAGATGTCACCGGTCTGATTTAGGGAGAACTTGTGGGGAAGGGAACGCCCACACTGAGAGAGAGCTGCTGGGACTGCTGGTGTTGGTCTGTCTGGTTCGGCTCCACTCCAACAAGAGAGGCCCTGGGGACAAACACACACACACACACAGACGAATACACACACACACACACACACGAATACACACACACACACACAAACAAGCACACACACACACACAGACGAATACACACACACACACAAACACAGGCAAATACACACACACACACAGACGAATACACACACACACACACACACACAAACACAGGCGAATACACACACACACACACACAGACACACATACGGATACACACACAAAACAAGCACACACGCACACATGCCAGAACAATACTGTGACAGAGCATGAGACATGTTTCTCTCTCTCTGTCTCTGTCTAACACACACCGACACACACCCCACACGCACAAACACACACATACAAACACACAGTCACCTCTGTGTCATTGTTGAGGTTCCACAGATCCAGACGGCCCATCCCGTCCACGGCGGCAAACAGAGCCGGGTGCACAGGGGACCACATGACATCATAGACGTAGTCAGCATTGTCCTCAAAGGAGTAGAGGGGTTTATTGTGCTGAAACACACAGAGAGAGATGGGTTAGTGAGTCAGACAAGGACGTAGAGAGAGAAAGAGAGAGAGGCAGAGAGAAAGAGAGAGGGATACAGAGAGAGAAAGAGAGAGAGGGCAAGACAGAAAAGGGGGAGACTGCAAAGAGAGAGAGAGAACAAGAGGGAGGCAGAGAGAGAGGGAGGCAGAGAGAGAGGGAGAGAGAGAGAGAGAGGCAGAGAGAGAGAGAGAGATAGAGAGAACAAGAGGGAGGCAGAGAGAGAGAGAGAGAGAGAGAGAGAGAGAGAGAGGGAGGCAGAGAGAGAGAGAGAGAGAGAGAGAGAGAGAGAGAGAGACAGAGAGAGAGAGAGAGAGAGAGAGAGAGAGAGAGAGAGAGAGCGAGGTAGGCAGCGAGAGGGAGGCAGAGAGAAGGAGGCAGAAGAGAGACAATAGAAGAGAGAGGTCGAGAGATAGGGGATGCAGAGAGGAGGAGGCTGCGAGAGAGATGAGGAGAGAGGCAGCGAGAGAGAGCTCAGACGATAGAGAGCAGAGAGGCTAGAGAGAGGAGTCGCGATTAGACGTGATACGAATATCATCTCGGATAAGGCTATATTGAGAGATAGGGCAAGAGATCTAGTACGCAGGTATACCAGCTGAGAATATAGAGAGAGAGAGGGAGGGGTGCCATATCGTTGTCTAGATGGTTCAGAGAGGTAGAAAGGGAGCCAGGATAGATAGAATGTATGCCTAGAGGGAGGCGAAGAGGAGAGCCCGAGAGATAAGCAGAGATTGTGATAGAGATAGAGTAGGCATAGGCGCGGGTAGATAGAGAGAGATGGACGAGAGCAGAAATTGGGAGCAGGAGATAGAGGCAGAGAGGAGGGATGCAGAGGATATAGCAAGAAGGATAGAAGAGACGAGAGTGTAGAGGCTATAGATAGGAGAGAGAGAGGAGAGTGAGGCCGAGAGAGGTTCATGCCGGTAATAAGATAGAGAGAGGGGGTTTAGCTAGAGAGCGAGAGAGATGGTTCAGAGAGAATCTAGTGTTTTTTTATCTCTCGCTCATTTACGTCGCTCTCATGCGATATCTCGACTATACTACGTATCTCTACGTCTATATCTATATCTGATATAGATATATCTAATCGAGATATCTATTATATTATATACGCTGATATATCATATCATATACTATCCTCCACGACTATATCTCTCTCTATACGTGTATATTAGATTTCCTTCAGATATATCTCTTCGATCCGATATCTTTTACTTCCTATATATAGATATAATAGTATCTATAGTATCATATCTCTAATATATGTCGTCAATCATATATTTATTATTCATATAGATATTTGGTATAGAATATGCGAGAGCTCTTTTCAATCTATATATTTTTTGTATAGATATAGATATGTTAGTTCATATATAATATATCATATAATATATATCTATGATATTCGATAGACAATTAACTCTTCATATCTACTCGTATCTATCTTTACTCGTCTCCTTGCCTATATATATATTTAGAATGTCAATATATATATATAGTATATACGATCTGTATTCCCAATTAATAGCAGTTATTCATTACTAGTAGATTTTTGTGAGAGAGATCTATTATAGAGGTCATATACGAGAGATTGAGGTTGTTTTGGTATATAGATATACATGTAGTCAGATTAGATATATATCTATATATATATTAGATATATATATATATATTATATATATATATATATAGAAGAGAATATATATATATTAATTATATATCTATATCTATTCATATATAAGATATATAAGAGATATTATATCTGAGAGACCAGGCAATAAGTTCCTTCTATGCCATCAAAAGAAACATAACATTTCACATACCAATTAGGATCTAGCTAAAAATACTTGAATCAGTTATAGAACCCATTGCCCTTTATGGTTGTGAGGTCTGGGGTCCGCTCACCAACCAAGAATTCAGAAAAATGGGACAAACACCAAATTGAGACACTGCATGCAGAATTCTGCTAAAATATCCTCAGTGTACAACGAAAAACACCAAATAATGCATGCAGAGCAGAATTAGGCTGATACCCGCTAATTATCAAAATCCAGAAATAAGCCGTTAAATTCTATAACCACTTAAAAGGAAGCGATTCCCAAACCTTCCATAACAAAGCCATCACCTACAGAGAGATGAACTTGGAGAAGAGTCCCCTAAGTAAGCTGGTCCTGGGGCTCTGTTCACAAACACAAACAGACCCCACAGAGCCCCAGGACAGCAACAACAACACAATTAGAACCAACCAAATCATGAGAAAACAAAAAGAGAATTACTTGACACATTGGAAAGAATTAACAAAAAACAGAGCAAACTATAATGCTTTTTGGCCCTAAACAGAGAGTACACAGTGGCAGAATACCTGACCACTGTGACTGACCCAAACTTAAGGAAAGCTTTGACTATGTACAGACTCAGTGAGCATAGCCTTGCTATTGAGAAAGGCCGCCGTAGGCAGACCTGGCTCTCAAGAGAAGACAGGCTATGTGCACACTGCCCACAAAATGAGGTGGAAACTGAGCTGCACTTCCTAACCTCCTGCCAAATGTATGACCATATTAGAGACACATATTTCCCTCAGATTACAGAGATCCACAAAGAATTCGAAAACAAACCCAATTTTGATAAACTCCCTTATCTACTGGGTGAAAAACCACAGTGTGCCATCACAGCAGCAACAAAAAAAGGGCAACCAGCGAAGAACAAACACCATTGTAAATACAACCCATATTTATGTATATTTATTTTCCCATTTGTACTTTAACTATTTGCACATTGCTACAACACTGTATATAGACATAATATGACATTTGAAATGTCTTAATTTTTTTTGAACTTCTGAGTGTAATGTTTACTGTTAATATTTATTGTTTATTTCACTTTTGTTTACTATCTACTTCACTTGCTTTGGCAATGTTAACATTGAATTGAGAGAGAGGGGGGGGGGCAGACAGAGAGAGAGAGAGAGAGAGAGAGAGACAGAGAGAGAGAGAGAGGGGAGGCAGAGAGAGAGAGAGAGAGACAGAGAGACAGAGAGAGAGAGAGGGGAGGCAGAGAGAGGGAGGCAGAGAGAGAGAGAGAGGGGAGGCAGAGAGAGGGAGGCAGAGAGAGAGAGAGAGGGGAGGCAGAGAGACGGAGGCAGAGAGAGAGAGAGAGAGAGAGAGAGACAGAGAGAGAGAGACAGAGAGACAGAGAGAGAGAGAGGGGAGGCAGAGAGAGGGAGGCAGAGAGAGAGAGAGAGAGCGAGCAAGAGAGAGAGAGATGGCTGCCAGAGGGGATGGCTGCCGTTATATGGACTCTTAACCAACCGTGCTATTTTGTGTGTTTTTTTCACATTGTTTTTAACTTATTTTGTACATAATGTTGCTGCTACCGTCTCTTATGACCGAAAAGAGCTTCTGGACATCAGAACAGCGATTACTCACCTTGAACTGGACGAGAGGGATTTGCTCCAGACACCCGACAGGGCCCTCATCACCGTCATTCGCAGTAGAAAGAAAAGGAGATATCGCGGAAGGAGATCGGGGTGCTTGGTAAGGAGCCTTAGACTAGTCGCTAATCTGCCTTTGCCATCGATACTATTGGCCAATTTACAATCGCTTGATAATAAAATGGACGAACTACAGGCACGAATATCCTACCAACGGGACATTAAAAACTGTAATATCTTATGTTTCACTGAGTCGTGGCTGAGCGATGACATGAATAACATACAGCAGGCGGGTTATACACTGTATCGGCAGGATAGAACGGCAGCCTCTGGTAAGACAAGGGGTGGCGGTCTATGTATATTTGTAAAAAACAGCTGGTGCACGATATCTAAGGAAGTCTCGAGGTTTTGCTCACCTGAGGTAGAGTATCTCATGATAAGCTGTAGACCACACTATCTTCCAAGAGAGTTTTCATCTATATTTTTCGTAGCTGTCTATTTACCACCACAAACCGATGCTGGCACTAAGACCACACTCAATTAACTGTATACGGCCATAAGCAAACAAGAAAATGCTCATCCAGAGGCGGCGCTCCTAGTGGCCGGGGACTTTAAGGCAGGGAAACTTAAATCCGTTTGACTTAATTTCTACCAGCATGTTAAATATGCAACCAGAGGGGAAAAAAACTCTAGACCACCTTCACTCCACACACAGAGACGCGTACAAAGCTCTCCCTCGCCCTCCATTTGGAAAATATGACCATAATTCTATCCTCATGATTCCTGCTTTCAAGTAAAAACTAAAGCAGGAAGCACCAGTGACTCGGTCAATAAAAAAGTGCTCAGATGAAGCAGATGCTAAGCTACAGGACTGTTTTGTTAGCACAGACTGGAATATGTTCCGGGATTTTTCCGATGGCATTGAGGAGTACACCACATCAGTCACTGTCTTCATCAATAAGTGCATCGATAACGTCGTCCCCACCGTAACTGTACGTACATACCCCAACCAGAAGCCATGGATTACAGGCAACATCCGCACTGAACTAAAGGGTAGAGCTGCTGCTTTCAAGGAGCGGGACTCTAACCCGGAAGCTTATAAGAAATCCCGCTATGCCCTCAGACGAGCCATCAAACAGGCAAAGCGTCAATACAGGACTAAGATCGAATCGTACTACATCGGCTCCGATGCACGTCGGATGTGGCAGGGCTTGCAAACTATTACAGACTACAAAGTGAAGCACAGCCGCGAGCTACCCAGTGACACGAGCCTACCAGACGAGCTAAATCACTTCTATGCTCGCTTCGAGGCAAGTATCACTGAAACATGCATGAGAGCATCAGCTGTTCCGGATGACAGTGTGATCACGCTCTCCGTAGCCGATGTGAGTAAAACCTTTAAACAGGTCAACATTCACAAGGCCGCAGGGCCAGACGGATTACCAGGACGTGAACTCAGAGCATGTGCTGACCAACTGGCAAGTGTCTTCACTGACATGTTCAACCTCTCCCTGTCTGAGTCTGTAATACCAACATGTTTCAATCAGACCACCATAGTCCCTGTGCTCAAGAACACTAAGGTAACCTGCCTAAATGACTATCGACCCGTAGCACTCACGTCTGTAGCCATGAAGTGGTTTGAAAGGCTGGTCACATCAACACCATTATCCGAGAAACCCTAGACCCACTCCAATTTGCATATTGCCCCAACAGATCCACAGATGATGCAATCTCTATTGCGCTCCACACTGCCCTTTCACACCTGGACAAAAGGAACACCTATGTGAGAATGCTATTCATTGACTACAGCTCAGCGTTCAACACCATAGTGCCCTCAAAGCTCATCACTAAGCTAAGGACCCTGGGACTAAACACCTCCCTCTGCAACTGGATCCTGGAATTCCTGACGGGCCGCCCCCAAGTTGTAAGGGTAGGTAACAACACATCCGCCACTCTGATCCTCAACACGGGGGCCCCTCAGGGGTGCGTGTTCAGTCTCCTCCTGTACTCCCTGTTCACTCATGACTGCATGGTCAGGCACGACTCCAACACCATCATTAAGTTTGCCGATAACACAACAGTGGTAGGCCTGATCACCGACAACGATGAGACAGCCTATAGGGAGGAGGTCAGAGACCTGGCCGTGTGTTGCCAGGACAACAACCTCTCCCTCAACGTGATCAAGATAAAGGAGATGATTGTGGACTACAGGAAAAAGAAGAGGACCGAGCATGCCCCCATTCTCATCGTGTCCACATCACCAACAAACTAACATGGTCCAAGCACACCAAGACAGTCGTGAAGAGGGCACGACAAAACCTATTCCCCCTAAGGAGACTGAAAAGATTTGGCATGGGTCCTCAGATCCTCAAAAGGTTCTACAGCTGCACCATCGAGAGCATCCTGACTGGTTGCATCACCTCCTGGTATGGCAACTGCTCGGCAACCGACCGCAAGGCACTACAGAGGGTAGTGCGTACGGCCCAGTACATCACTGGGTCCAAGCTTCCTGCCATCCAGGATCTCTATACCAGGCGGTGACAGAGGAAGGCCCTAAAAATTGTCAAAGACTCCAGCCACCCTAGTCATAGACTGTTCTCACTGCCACCGCAAGCGGTACCGGAGCGCCAAGTCTAGGTCCAAGAGGCTTCTAAACAGCTTCTACCCCCAAGCCATAAGACTCCTGAACATCTAATCAAATGGCTACCCAGACTATTTGCATTGCCCCCCACCCCTCTTTTACGCTGCTGCTACTCTGTTTATTATCTATGCATAGTCACTTTAATAACTCTACCTACATGTACATATTACCCCAATTACCTCGACTAACCGGTGCCCCCGCACATTGACTCGGTACCGGTACCCCCTGTATATAGCCTCGCTATTGTTATTTTTACTGCTGCTCTTTAATTATTTGTTACTTTTATTTCTTATTATTTTATATTGTATTTTATTTTTATTTTATTTTGGTATTCTTTCTTAAAACTGCATTGTTGTTTAAGGGCTTGTAAGTAAGCATTTCACTGTAAGGTCTACACCTGTTGTATTCGGCACATGCGACAAATACAATTTGATTTGATTTGATTTGATGAGAGAGATAGGATAGAGAGAGAGGGGTGATAGAGAGAGAGGGGGGGATAGAGAGAGAGAGATAGAGAGAGCACGAGAGAGAGAGCGAGAGAGAGGGGGGGGGGGGGGGGGGGGGGGGGGGGGTAGAGATAGAGGGAGAAAAAGGCAGTGTGGCCCCACTGCAGCCTTGGGGTCTGTCTGTGAAGGGCATAATTAAAAAGCTTTGCACATTCACACAGTGTCGTAAAAAAACTAAGACATGAAAGTCTCCCTCTCCAAAGGTGTACTGTAACCTTAGTGGAACAGCTGTCTGAGGGGAAGAATAAAAGAACAAACAGAGGGAGAGAAAGAGTGGGAAGAGAGAGAGACGGAGAAAGACAGAGACAGATGTGAGGGGGCATAAAAGGGAGGGAGCAGAGAGAGAGAAGAGACAGAAAGGGAGAGAAAGAGCGAGAGAGATGGAGAATCCATCCCCTCCTCCTCCTATGCCTGTCAGAGAGAATTCCAGAGGGTTGCTAAATGCATTCTGGACAGGTAGGGAGTAAGAAAGAGTCAGGTAGGCGGAGACAGGTAGGGAGTAAGAAAGAGTCAGGTAGGCGGAGACAGGTAGGGAGTAGGAAAGAGTCAGGTAGGCGGAGACAGGTAGGGAGTAGGAAAGAGTCAGGTAGGCGGAGACAGGTAGGGAGTAGGAAAGAGTCAGGTAGGCAGAGACAGGTAGGGAGTGGGAGTCAGGTAGGATGGGCTGAGACAGGTAGCCAGTGGGAGTCAGGTAGGATGGGCTGAGACAGGTAGGGAGTGGGAGTCAGGTAGGATGGGCTGAGACAGGTAGGGAGTGGGAGTCCGGTAGGATGGGCTGAGACAGGTAGCCAGTGGGAGTCAGGTAGGATGGGCTGAGACAGGTAGGGAGTGGGAGTCAGGTAGGATGGGCTGAGACAGGTTGGGAGAGGGAGTCAGGCTGACAGACTGCTTGGGAGGAATGTGCTCTGTCTCTCCCCTCCTCCCCTCCCTTTCAATTCAATTTCAATTCAATTCAAAGGGCTTTATTGGCATGGGAAACATGTTTACATTGCCAAAGCAAGTGAAATAATTTAGATAATAAACAAAAGTGAAATAAACAATACAAAAATTAACAGTAAACATTACACTCACAAAAGTTCCAAAATAATAAAGACATTTCAAATGTCATATTATGTGCAAATAGTTCAAGTACAAAATGGAAAATAAATAAACACCTCTCCTCTCCTCTCCTCTCCTCTCCTCTCCTCTCCTCTCCTCTCCTCTCCTCTCCTCTCCTCTCCTCTCCTCTCCTCTCCTCTCCTCTCCTCTCCTCTCTCTCTCCTTTCCCAGCCCCTTCCCTCTCCCAAGGGAAGGGACAGGAAGACATACACACCTGACCACATCCTCCTACTACTAATACATACACACCTGACCACAGCCTCCTACTACTAATACACACACACACCCCGCTGCAAACCTTGAGAGAACCAATTTCAAGCCTGAATTGAAACTGTTTGCCTGCCATCAACACCATGATAAAGGTAGGTCACCGTTTTCTTCATCTTCCTTTTCTATCATTCTATGGGCTGAGTGACTCATCCCTCTCTCTCCCTCCCTCTCTCTCCACCCCTCGCTCTCTGTTTGTCAGACTTCTAATTTCTGAGACATATAGCAGTCCCTCCAGGATTTTGCAATTCTGACATTTGCTGTAGATTCCAAACTGATTCCAAACTGGAGTTCCAACAGAGAGAACCGGCCTGTATATTCCAAAATGTAGATTCCAAACTGGAGTTCCAACAGAGAGAACAGGCCTGTCTCAGGGTAATAAGTTGGTGGTCTGTTGGTATCCCTCTAGTGGTGTGGGGGCTGTGCTTTGGCAAAGTGGGTGGGGTTATATCCTGCCTGGTTGGCCCTGTCCGGGGGTATCGTCAGACGGGGCCACAGTGTCCCCCGACCCACCCCTGTCTCAGTCTCCAGTATCTATGCTGCAATAGTCTATGTGCCAGGGGGCTAGGGTCAGTCTGTTATATCTGGTGTAATTCTCCTGTCTTATCTGGTGTCCTGTGTGAATTGAAGAATGCTCCCTCTAATTCTCTCCCTCTCTCCCTCCCCTCCCGGAGGACCTGAGGCCTAGGATTATGCCTCAGGACTAACTGGCCTGATGACTCCAGGCTGTCCCCAGTCCACCTGGTCGTGCTGCTGCTCCAGTTTCAACTGTTCTGCCTGCGGCTAGGGAACCCGGATATGCTACCTTGTACCCTACCTGCTGTCTCGACCTCTGAATGCTCAGCTATGAAAAGCCAACTGACATTTACTCCTGAGGTACTGACCTGTTGCACCCTCTACAACCACATATTATTATTTGACCCTGCTGGTCATCTATGAACGTTTGAACATCTTGAAGAACAATCTGGCCTTAAATGGCCATGTACTCTTATAATCTCCACCCGGCACAGCCAGAAGAGGACTGGCCACCCTTCAGAGCCTGGTTCCTCTCTAGGTTTCTTCCTAGGTTCCTGCTTCTACATCTGCATTGCTTGCTGTTTGGGGTTTTAGGCTGAGTTTCTGTATAGCACTTTGTGACATCTTCTGATGTATAAATAGATTTGATTGATTGATTGTAGATTCCAAACTGTAGATTCCAAACTGGAGTTCCAACAGAGAGAACAGGCCTGTAGATTCCAAACTGTAGATTCCAAACTGGAGTTCCAACAGAGAGAACAGGCCTGTAGATTCCAAACTGTAGATTCCAAACTGGAGTTCCAACAGAGAGAACAGGCCTGTAGATTCCAAACTGTAGATTCCAAACTGGAGTTCCAACAGAGAGAACAGGCCTGTAGATTCCAAACTGTAGATTCCAAACTGGAGTTCCAACAGAGAGAACAGGCCTGTAGATTCCAAACTGTAGATTCCAAACTGGAGTTCCAACAGAGGGAACAGGCCTGTAGATTCCAAACTGTAGATTCCAAACTGGAGTTCCAACAGAGGGAACAGGCCTGTAGATTCCAAACTGTAGATTCCAAACTGTAGATTCCAAACTGGAGTTCCAACAGAGCATGTGAGCGGAGTTGAGCGGTCGGAAATCCCGCTCATCGCTCATGGAGTGGTGCTTGCTCCACATCCTTTCCAACCGCTCCGCTAAAAACAGCTCCGCGCTCATAAAAAAAAAAAAATGACGATCCGAATTCTCTCATTAAAATCACAATTTAACCAACACCCACCTATTGCTGTGACTACCTGGACCTACCATTTGGTTTTGAAGTATTGAAACCAAACCATATGATTTTAATGAAAAATATTTTAATAAACATAAAAAGGTGAATGTAAGAAGCGCTCATCATTTCAAATAGGTCGTATTATACAGCATATAAACACTCCAAATAGGTCAGAAGCCAGACAGGGAGCCTAAGAAGGAATGAAAATGAATTATTTAAGCTATATTATTTCAATTATTTCAAGCCTGTAGCCTACAAATAAATACATTGTGAAGCATTTGCGAGTGCAACACAATAGGCTGGTAGGGACATAAAGCGCTCAGCATTTAAACAACATTTTGTTGTATTAAATCATTATAGTCTATACATTGAGCATAAAGGCTGTGACTTACTTATAATTAAATACAAATTAAATGAAAAATGCCTTATTAGGCTCAGTCTACAGCAGAGTATGTGAGCGGAGTGGAGCTGGAGCGGAGCGAGTAGCGGAGCGTGTCCAATTTGACTGGAGCGTGCCCAATTTGACTGGGGCGCGGAGCGAGATTCCCAAAGGCTGGAGAGTCGGCCTTCTCGGCTTGTGTGTTGCTATAGCCCCTTGCTTTAGCTACTGTCATGGAGTTCGCTAAATCTTTTCATAAAGAAAATGATAAAACACACAGGTGCAAAATCAAGGTGACTTACAATGATGAGGACCAAAAGCAAGAGAAGGAGTGCAGTGATGTAGTGTCCACAACTAAAGAATCATTGTGGAATCTGAAAAGACACTTATCCTGAAGGCATTATGGTGTCCTTACTACGTGCACATGCTAACAGAAAGGAACAAGGTGGGTAGATAACTAAGTGTGTCATTTTAGCAAAGTATTTATAAACAAAAAATCAGATCTCTTAAAAGTTTCATTCATTTTTGTTCTATTATCTATACCAGGGCTGCCCAACCCTCTTCCTGGAGATCTACTGTCCTGTAGGTTTTCAGTCCAACCCTAATTTAGCATATCTGATTCAGCTAGTTAAGGTCTTGTTGAGCAGCTAATAAGTAGAATCAGGTGTGTTAAATTAGGGTTGGACTGAAAACCCACAGGACGGTAGCTCTCCAGGAAGAGGGTTGGGCAGCCCTGATCTATACAATAGCCCATCATTGATTTTGGCCCAATAGGCCTGGCATATTCCCACTTTCAAGGAGCTATCCATTTTGATTAGGTTATTTTCCCTAAAATCCTTTAGGCCTACCTACTGCTGACCTGCTCTCCAGGCACCATCACATGAGCCTGAAGCCACAGACTCTGGCCAAACTCATGTTTCTCAAAATAAATTCAAAAGACAAACTGTAGTTCCAACAGAGAGAATCCTGGCCTGTAGATTCCAAACCGGAATTCCAACAGAAAATCCTGGCCTGTAGATTCCAAACTGGAGTTCCAACAGAGAGAATCCAGGCCTGTAGATTCCAAACTGGAGTTCCAACAGAGAGAATCCTGGTCTGTAGATTCCAAACTGGAGTTCCAACAGAGAGAATCCAGGTCTGTAGATTCCAAACTCAAGTTTGAACAGAGAGAATCCTTGCCTGTAGATTCCAAACTCGAGTTCCAACAAAGAGAATCCTGGCCTGTAGATTCCAAACTGGAGTTCCAACAAAGAGAATTCTGGTCTGTAGATTCCAAACTGGAGTTCCAACAGAGAATCCTGGCCTTTAGATTCCAAACTGGAGTTCCAACAGAGAGAATCCTGGTCTGCCTTTATTCCAGTTGTTCCATTCTCACCAAGTCTACGGCTGCATCTTAAATGACCTTATTCCCTATTTAGTGCACTACTTTTAACCACAGCCATATATAGGGAATAGGGTGCCATTTGGGACACATCCTACAACTGCTGGGAAACAGAGAAGGGGCAGAGAAGTCATTATGAAGTACTTTATGAATGTGATCTGGCTAAGGACATCAGGTTAAACTAGGCCAAGTAGTGGAATGAAGATCTTATGATGAGTAGGCTTCCTTCATTCTCTCTCACGCAATCAAGCCAGAGAGACAATTACTATAATAATGATCAATAAGCTGCATGTACCTAGCATGTATGAGCACAGCTATTTCATAACCCCTATTCCATAGTCTAGTGCACTATATAGGGAATAGAATGCCCATATTGCACATTACTAGTACACTGTATGGTGCTATTTCAGACACAGAAACTGTTTTCTAAGGTCATAACTAGACAGAGACAGTTAAGTTATGCGCCCTCAGTCTCTAGACGTCTCCCTGTGAACATCAGAGTCAAGCAGCTCACAACCCACATGTTTTCATAACCATAATATTTGCGTCTCTGAATGTAAAAACACATTCAGACTTTTGCATTCCGGCCTTTTTGAACTCAGTGTGTCGTTTGATGGCGTTGATTGGCAAGGTGAAGGTAAACCTCTAGGGTAACCTTAGGTAAGCAAAGGTTAGCCAGCTAAGGTGTACCCACAACCACACACACACTCATGTACACACACAACACACACTCAAGAACGCACGCACACACACACACACACACACACACACACACACACACACACACACACACACACACACACACACACACACACACACACACACACACACAGGGACAGGAGACAGACACACATTCCTGTGGCACCCCTCTAAGAGAAGGGAATTCCCTGATCCAGAAAAATAACTGCAGAATGTTTTAATATTTTATAATAACTTGGTGCATCTACACTTTGAACATATCACTGAATAATACATACATTTGCACTATCGGAGTGTTCCTGTTCAGTGTATGTCACACATTCAACATTTGTAAAATGTTCCTGTTTACTGTATATCAAATGCATCCAGCCTGATAAAATATAGATTTTATTAGTGTCTCTTTTTTATTTGGGGTTTGGTTTATTTTGGTTTTCAAAAGTATAAACGCAACATTCAACAATTTCAAAGATTTTATGGAGTTACAGTTCATATAAGGAAATCAGTCAACTGAAATAAATTCATTAGGCCCTAATCTATGGATTTCACATGACTGGGAATACAGATATGCATCTGTTAGTAACAGATACCTTAATAAAAAGGCAGGGGCGTGGATCAGAAAACCAGTCAGTATCTGGTGTGACCACCATTTGTTGATTGTGGCCTGTGGAATGTTGTCCCACCCCTCTTTAATGGCTGTGCGAAGTTGCTGGATATTGGTGGGAACTGGAACACGCTGTCGTACACGTCGATCCAGAGCATCCCAAACATGCTCAATGGGTGACATGTCTGGTGAGTATGCAGGCCATGGAAGAACTGGAACATTTTCAGCTTCCAGGAATTGTGTACAGATCCTTGCAACATGGGGCCGTGCATTATCATGCTGAAACATGAGGTGATGGCGGCGGATGAATGGCACGACAATGGGCCTCAGGATCTCGTCACGGTATCTCTGTGCATTCAAATTGCCATCAATAAAATGCAATTGTGTTTGTTGTCCGTAGCTTATGCCTGCCCATATCATAACCTCACCGCCACCTTGGGGCACTCTGTTCACAACGTTGACATCAGCAAACCGCTCGCCCACATGACACCATACCTGCCATCTGGCCGGTTTCAAGGTACAGTTGAAACCGGGATTCTTCCGTGAAGAGCACACTTCTCCAGCTCCAGCGTACCAGTGGCCATCGAAGGTGAGCATTTGCCCACTGAAGTCGGTAACGACGCCATCTGCAGTCAGGTCAAGACCCTGGTGAGGACGACGAGCACGCAGATGAGCTTCCCTGAGATGGTTTCTGACAGTTTGTGCAGAAATTCTTCAGTTGTGCAAACCCACAGTTTCATCAGCTGTCCAGGTGGCTGGTCTCAGACGATCCCGCAGGTGAAGAAGCCGGATGTTGAGGTCCTGGGCTGGCATGGTTACACGTGGTCTGCTGTTGTGAGGTAGGTTGGACATACTTTCAAATTCTCTAAAACAACGTTGGAGGCGGCTTATGGTAGATAAATTAACATTAAATTATCTGGCAACAGCTCTGGTAGACATTCCTGCAGTCAGCATGCCAATTGCACGCTCCCTCAAAACTTGAGACATCTGTGGCATTGTGTTGTGTGACAAAACTGCACATTTTAAAGTGGCCTTTTATTGTCCCCAGCACAAGGGATGCTCACTAACAGGGATGTAAACAAATGTGTGCACACAATTTGAAATAAAAAAGCTTTTTGTGCGTATGTAACATTTCTGGGATCTTTTATTTCAGCTCATGAAACTTGGGACCAACACTTTACATGTTGCGTTTATATTTTTGTTCAGTGGAGTGAGTCTTATGATGGGGTCTATTTCCTCTCCTCTTCTCTTCTCCTCTTCCTAAACCAACCCTTCCAGCCAGCTGGATTTTCCTAATTTAACTTCAACTCTCCCTCTCTTTTTTTCAAGAACTTTCTCACTTTCTTCTCTCTCCTTTGCTCTTTCTTTCTCGCACCCCTCCCTCCCGCCTATATACTGTATGTTACCCAGTCCCTCTCTCTCTCTTATCCCATCACTTCTTTACTTTTTCCCTCTCCCTTTATCCGTCCCTCACCCCTGCTTCCTTCCCTCCCTCTCTCCCTCCCTCTGTCCGTCTCTGTGGTGGTTGTGGTGCGCTCCTCTGTCTCCAGACAGAAAGGCCAGAATGGGAGAGAGAGGAGTTCCACAGCAGTCTGCAGCCTCCCTGGCCACCGCTGCCTCTCTGTGGTTTAAACCCCAGTCAACAGCCTCACTCCTCCCGTTCTCCTCCCGTTCTCCTCCTGTTCTCTACATCCCTCCATCCCTTCTTTCCCTTTCTTCATTCATCCTTCGCTCCTTCCATCCACAGTCCACTCCAGTCCAGTCGGCTCACTGCCACGGACACGTAACCTCCCTCCCTCCTCCCTCCATCCCTCCTAATGTATCTATGTATTTATTTAGCTCCTCTTTTTTGACTCAGTGAACAAATTCAAAAAGTAATCCTATTTGAATCACAAACACAGTCTGTGACACTGACAGTCACTCTGTCTGTTGCATTCCTCTACTCAGTCAGGACAGGTAGGTAACGCCTAGTTTAGACACAAACAGGTCCCTCTACCTTGGTGCTCCACAGTTTGACAGTCCAGTCGAACGACGAGGTGACGAAGAGATGGGAGAAGTCTACAGGGCCGACAGCGTTGTGACAGCTGAGGCCCGTCACGGGCCCCTGGTGGCCCTCGAACATCTCACAGATCCCCGCCTTGCTGCAAAGGAGCATGGGAGAGAGAGAGAGAGAGAGAGAGAGAGAGAGAGAGAGAGAGCGTGTCAGAGAGAACCAAGGATACTATTTGGGGGGAACTAGGTCCTAATAGCATGTTCAATTGGTAACAGGAGCTTATAGCTGAGATACACTTCATCAAAATATGAAGCTTATAGTGTGTGTGTGTACACATTCGTCTGTAACTATACATGGGTTCACTTGCTATTTCTGGTTGTATATCAATCACTGAAAGTACAGGTGTCAGTTTGTCTCAGTGTCTACCTGTGTGAGTGTTCGTGTGTGTGTGTGTGTGTGTGTCAGTGTCTCCATGCCTGTTTGTGTGTCTCAGTGTGTGTGTGTGTGTGTGTGTGTGTGTGTGTGTGTGTGTGTCAGTGTCTCCAGGCCTGTTTGTGTGTCTCAGTGTGTGTGTGTGTGTGTGTGTGTGTGTGTGTGTGTGTGTGTGTGTGTGTGTGTGTGTGTGTGTGTGTGTGTGTGTGTGTGTCAGTGTCTCCGTGCCTGTTTGTGTGTCTCAGTGTGTGTGTGTGTGTGTGTGTGTGTGTGTGTGTGTGTGTGTGTGTGTGTGTGTGTGTGTGTGTTGGTGTGTTGGTGTGTGTGAGTGAGTGTTCCTCTGACCTGCCGTGTCTGGATGCGGTGTACACGGTTCCCTCCTCACTCCCCACCACATAATTATTGACGTCTCCAGTTGGGAACGCCATGCCTGTTACAGCCACCGGTTTAGACTTGTTGTACACCAGCTCCATGCTCTCCTACAACACACACACAGACAGGCACACACACACACACACACACACAGAGACACACGCATGCACGCACGCACGCACACACACACACACACACGCACGCACGCACACACACACACACACACACACACACACACACACACACACACACACACACACACACACACAGAGATACACAGAGACACACACACACAAACACGGAGTTAAAGGTTTGAACCTCATGTTAAGGTTGTGCTGACCTAGTTATAGTGAGTCTGTGACATATGTCACATAGACATACTGCAGTTATATAGCATACATTGTGTTTGATAGGGCTATGTCATGGTATTAGCTACACTGTTTGATAGGGCTTTGTCATGGTATTAGCTACACTGTTTGATAGGGCTTTGTCATGGTATTAGCTACACTGTTTGATAGGGCTTTGTCATGGTATTAGCTACACTGTTTGATAGGGCTTTGTCATGGTATTAGCTACACTGTTTGATAGGGCTTTGTCATGGTATTAGCTACACTGTTTGATAGGGCTTTGTCATGGTATTAGCTACACTGTTTGATAGGGCTTTGTCATGGTATTAGCTACACTGTTTGATAGGGCTTTGTCATGGTATTAGCTACACTGTTTGATAGGGCTTTGTCATGGTATTAGCTACACTGTTTGATAGGGCTTTGTCATGGTATTAGCTACACTGTTTGATAGGGCTTTGTCATGGTATTAGCTACACTGTTTGATAGGGCTTTGTCATGGTATTAGCTACACTGTTTGATAGGGCTTTGTCATGGTATTAGCTACACTGTTTGATAGGGCTTTGTCATGGTATTAGCTACACTGTTTGATAGGGCTTTGTCATGGTATTAGCTACACTGTTTGATAGGGCTTTGTCATGGTATTAGCTACACTGTTTGATAGGGCTTTGTCATGGTATTAGCTACATGAGTCAGTTATAGTACCACTCTCTTTAATGACAATATGCTGTATGTCATATGTGATAATCTAATCTATTGCTGACTCTGAATCAGTTTGAAGACATGCGCCTTAATGACACAGATCATTATTGACTGATGTCAAATCAGCTCTTACCTGTGGTTGAGAGAGCATGTCAAGACTCCAGGAGCACATCCTGCCGTCTGTGGACACGGTGATCAGGTTGTTGGCATTCTGCGTTCCCACCACATTCACACAGTACACCGGGTGCTACAGACACAGGAAGTACAGACACATGAAGTACAGACACATGAAGTACAGACACAGGAAGGACAGACACAGGAAGGACAGACACATGAAGTACAGACACAGGAAGGACAGACACAGGAAGGACAGACACAGGAAAGACAGACACATGAAGTACAGACACATGAAGTACAGACACAGGAAGGACAGACACAGGAAGGACAGACACAGGAAGTACAGACACATAAAGTACAGACACCGGAAGGACAGACACAGGAAGGACAGACACAGGAAAGACAGACACAGGAAGTACAGAGAGCTCAGACACAGGAAGTACAGACACAGGTAGTACAGACACAGAAAGGGAATGGCCATGAAAAAACACACTGGATGTCTCCCTTATTGTATCACTTAAGTTCAAATATCATTTAATTTGTATCTATGTCATAGTGTTGTTGTTTAAATAGCTATACATGTGAAGAACTGTGAATAATGTAGTATACACTATATTATTTCACACACATTTCAATATCTTATGAAAGTTATCAGTAGGTATAACCTGAATATGCACAAACATGTAAAATATGTCTTCCTACAACACTGAGATGACACAAAGCTCTTATTGAGTAATGAGATGCCAATGTGCAACAGCCCCTTACTCCAATTTAGCATTGGCATCCAGGACTGTGCAAATACAGTGTGTTGTGTGAATCCATTATGTCATTATTGGCCTCAAATTGATTTTTTTTTTGCCCACAAAGGCCCCTTTCAGAGAGCAGGCGGGTTGATGAGGCAGAGGCCTAGACATAGTCTCTCATTATTGGGGTCGAGGGAGTTTAAACCTTGGGCATGTATGGCATCCAGGGGCTGTGTGTGTGTGGCTGCGTGTGCCTGTGTGTGTGTGTGTGTGTTTTATGTGTTTGTGTGTGTGTGCGTGAAACTACAATGAACCCCCCACCTCCTACCACTACCAATAAACGTTATTGCCTGCCTTGGGTGGTATTCAATGTGTTAAGGCTCAATGGGTTTGTTGGGGTGAATAGATTGAGGTTAAGAAGGTAGATACGGTAGATAACAGGATAGGATATAGCAGGGATCATCAGCTAGATTCAGCCGTGGGACTATTTTTTTTTTAGCCGATGGTCAGGGGGCCGGAACATAATTACAAACAATTGGTAGACTGCAAATTGACCGCAAGAAACCCAAACAGATAATATTTGATTTAAAACATCATAATTTCAAACCTTGCTTACATTTGCATACGATCACGTCTCTCTATTGTGCGTGGGAATACTTAGGAACAGATTTCCAAAATTAAAATCACTTCGAGCTGATTTCCTGGTGTTTTTATAGTATTTTATGTCCAACAATAAAACATGTAAATGAAAAAAAATGATTTTTTTTTTTGCTCAGAAAACCCACATGCCGCCAGTTGGGGAACCCTGGGATATAGGATATACAAGGTGATTTTTATTCTTCCTCTTATATGTCTTTAATGCCCTCAGGGATTGCAGGGTTTCAGTGTGTTGCAGCTCTGGATGTGAATATACTGTATGACCACCTCTAAATCAGTAATATTCAGTACGTTGAAGCTGAAAGAAACTAACACCTGCGTTTCTGTTACAGTGTGTTTGGCGGGTGTCTCAGGTGTTTCAGTGCATATGGAGACTTATTGTGCGTCACAAATGGCAGCTTATTTCCTATATAGTGCACTACTTTTGACCAGGGCCCATAGTGCGCTGGTAAAAAGTAATGCACTATAAAGGGAATAGGGTGGACTGCACTGTGGACTTACTGTGTGAGCTGCAGCTGAGAGGGGTGTTCTCTGTACAGGAGTCCTGCGGTGGCTGCGGTTGTCCCACAGGACTATCTGGCCAGAGTAGGTCCCCCCCACCACCAGGTTAGGATGGAACCTAGCAAAGCCCACCGACACCACAGGAGACTAGAGAATAGAGGGAGAGATAAAGGAAGGGGGTAGGAGAGAAAAAGAGGGGGATAGAGGGAGACAGAAAGAGAGGTGATGGAAGACAGATGGGAAGAAAGAAAGAGAACAATAGAAAAAGGGAGAGGGGTCGAGTAAGAGCGAGAGAGAGACAGAGACAGAGACAGAGACACAGAGAGAGAGAGAGAGGAGAGAAGAGGGTATGGGAAAGAGAGAGAAAGAGAGAGAGAGAAAGAGAGAGAGAAGAGAGAGAGAGAAAGAGAGAGAGAAGAGAGAGAGAGCGCGATACCGAGAGAGAGAGCGCGAGTGAGAGAGAGCGAGAGAGAGAGAGCAAAAGTGCGAGAGAGAGGGGGAAAGAGAGAGAGAGCGCAAGAGAGAGGGGAGAAAGAGACGGAAAAAAGAGAGACGAGAGCAATAGATAAGAGATAGGAATAGAAATAAAAGGAAGAAAAAAGATTTGGAAAAGAAATGACTCACAAGAGAGATAAAAAAAATAAGGGAAATAGAGAATCGATAAAGCCGACTAAGAAAAAAGAAATAAAAATTTAGAGAAAATTTTGAAAGATAAGAAAAAGATAAATCAAAAATTTGAAACAAAACGATATAAAAAAAAATTAAACAAAATAGAAAAAAAAAAAAGGAGAGTGAAAATATCCTTTTTCCTTTCTCTTGCTCTCTCCTCTCCCCCTTCTCCCCTCCCCTCTCTCCGCTCTCTCTTCCCCTCCTTCTCTCTCTCTCTCTCTTCTCTTTTTCTTCTCTCTACCTTCTCTTACCTACTCTTTTCCTCTCCTCCCTCTCTTTTTCCCTTTCCCCTTTTTTTTTGGGAAAATGGAGAGAGAGAAGAATAACCCTGAGAGACAAAGAAAGAAGCATTCTTGCCATTAAAGGGAAATATTAAATCGAAATTCCAATTAGAATCTGGCTCAAAATTTTCCAATCAGTTATAGAACCAATTGCTCTATATTGGCAGCGAAGTATGGGGTCCACTCTCTAATACTGAATTTACCAAATGGGACAAACATCCAATCGAAATACTGCATGCAGAGTTTTGCAAGACTGTATTGCAAGTGCAAAGAAAAACTCCAAATAATGCATGTAGAGCAAATTGGGCCAATACCCCCTCCTTATTCGAATAGAAAAAAGAGCCATCAAATTTTACAACCATCTAAAAACAAGTGACCCCAAAACATTCCATCCACGACAGCTCTACTATGTCAAGAGATGAAACAAGAGAAGAGTCCCCTCAGCCAGCTGGTTCTGAGGCTCAGTTCACTAACCAAAACCAACCTCATAGAGCCTCAGGACAGCACTCAGAAAATCTGGCCCAACCAAATCATCACAAAGCAAAAAGAAAATATATCACCTATTGGAAAGACACCACAAAAAATCAAAGTAAACTTCAATGCTATTTGGCTCTAAACAGACAGTACATGGTGGCAGACTATCTGACCACTGTGACTGATAGAAAACTGAGAAAAACACTGACTAGGTACAGACTCAGTGAGCACAGTCTGGCTATAGAGACCGGTCGTCACAGCAACCTGGCTGCCCAGAGAGGACAGGCTGTGCTCACTCTGCCCCCGGGGAGAGGTAGAGACAGAGCTGCATTCCTATTACAACACTGTGACAAATACTCAGACCTAAGAGAATCTTTCTTTCCCAAAATTATCATTCAGTACAACGGATTTGAAACTATAAAAGAGGAAGAAAAAATCAATATTTATTGGGTGAAAAGCCAAATGTGCAATTTTGGCAGCCAAATATGTGTCCTCCTGCCACAACCTGAGGGACAGCCAGTGAAAATTGTAATGTAATGTCAATAATATTTCCTGTTTTGTTTTGGCTTTCATAGCATGTAATATGTCTTCTCAGTCATGTTGAGATTGGTCGACTACT